CTCGCGTGTCGAGGGTAACATCGCTTTGCGTCTCGTCGGCGACTCGCATTTAGAACTTCTCACGCTGCTGACGCATCGCGACGCGAGAAATTGAATTGAATTCAATTCTATTAAGAAATAAAAAGTTGCTGCGACCCAGAAAAATGCGTCCGGCGAATTTATTCGCACGATGTCCCGAGCACTTGATGTTTTGTGCCGTGTCACGGTTATTAATTAACTCAGTCTCGTTTATAGAAACCGGCCGTGAATTATTTGAAACTTGATTCCATGTTATATTCTTTCATTAATGTCTTACAGTTTATTTCGAAAATTACATCACAAATATAAAAAGCAGCTTAAGAAATATCGAAGAGATATGTGAAAAATTAGAAAATATTTTTTTTTCTTGCTTTTTTATACATTTTTGCAAAGCCTTTCAATCATTTGCGATATAATGTGGGATTAAATGGTGCAAAAATTCACGCCTGCGGTAAAATCCTTTATTCACTCATCGCAATTACAATCCGCGAGCAACGGTATCAATAGACGCAGTTTCCCGCATTAATATTTCCTGTTGTAATTCTATTATCTCGTTACCTCGATTTTATAGCAACACGCAGTAAAAATTGAATTCTGTTGCTGGACGTTTTTTAAGCTTTGACGAGCATCGCTGTAAGCTCACGCACCATCGTAGCCCCATTTCTGGCGTTTTGTATTTTCGCGATTACGCCAAGTCCGTTAGTTTAATTTATACAAAAAGCCGGGAATTTACCGCTACGAATAAAGGCGAGACGGCGACCAAGTAGACGCTTGATGCGCGCTGAGAGTCCGCGTTACATTCACCGGCTCGTTCGGTATCGACTGTTTCGATTCTAAATATCGCGATGACAGGCGAGCCACGTTATCGCGGTACAGGCGTCTGCTTTTTATCATCGACGTCAAGCGTAAAGGTCAGCGACACGCATCCCCGATCGGATCGGATCGGAATATCTTGACGACAAACCCGTTAAGCTTGTTCGACTTGCACGCAATTCCACGCGCAGATTTGTTTTACCTTCGCGTTCCTCGGCTTTGCTTATCTCTCACGCAAATTTCAAAAGGACATCGGCAAATTTTTGCTGTGGCATTGAAATTTATATTCGACGTAATTGTAACCTGTCCCACCGGTCGTTTTATTATTGACCCGCGCACGTGCGTCGCGTATAAAACACCGAGTTCGAGAAGGAAGCACTTCAGGTTGATAAGCAAGTTCAGGAATTACAGTGAAAAGATAACGGGTGTTGTCGAATCATTCACTAAGCAATACTTCACTTTTTGAGCTAAGCACACGTAAGGTTTTATAGAGTTTTTGTGTATATATATATATCTGTAAGCACGCGTGGCATTATGAGTTTTGTAATCGCAAACGATAAGAAAATTTGCAAAAACGAATTTTTGTCTGAGACACAACCTTGAAGCCTAAAGTTGTTAAGAGCTATTTTATCTATATTAATGAGACAAGTTATAAAAAATAGAATTATAATTAAATATGTAAATATATTCTCGATGAGCAAAAACATTTGTTGTTAAATATTAAATATTAAATTTATTTATAAATCTATTCAATTAATTTTTTCTGTGCGGGCGCAATAAAAACTGTTTAGTGTTGTTCTACATGTAATTATCGATTTTTCGCATAACTATTGTTTAAGACACGTTTGCTTCTATCAAGTTTGTTTCGCTAGTACGTTGCATAGAGTTGCGAAATCATCGCGCGCTCAATTACTCAATTAATACATCGATTAACCGTCGCGTAGGTAATTAGCTCTATTAATTTCCTCTTGCTAGAACATCGCAAAGCGACCGCTGCGAAATTGAATTACACGAAATATATTCGCGCGTGCGAGCCACGCGCGCTGGTCGCGTAAATGCCGACGAGGGAATATTCGGTATTCGCTTTCGCAATCGCTTTAACGCCGTATTAATCAACACGTTGCTTCCCGAGATATGAGCGACTCGTGTTTAACATTTGCAATATGCTACAATTTCTGGGTGAAAAAAAATAAAATAAAAAGTCAATATTAAATATTTAAACCCCGATGTTTTTCATCGACAAACATCACGTTTGATGCACGGCGTAGCTTTATTAATGCTTTTATTTGGAACTTTTTTTACAATTGAAACGCAAGCGATATGTCACCGAATTTTTTATTTAATATCTTACGCGATAGTGGATTGTGTGCTCTAGTTGAAACATAATTTGATTACATTAGCCTTGTCGTGGGAATTATTATCTCGTACGTACGCGCAAATACGCAGTGAACGAGAAACAGTCGCGGGGGCGACGCGAGAGGGAGGGTGAAGAGTGGAAGAAACACGGTCGTGCTACGCCCAAACGTTTTTCGTGGGCCGGTGATTGAGGACTGAGGTATAAGAATGTGTAGGTTCGGCCATTCGTCAGGCCCGAGATAACGGCGGGTTTTTGGCATTCGAGAAATGGTTCTAAGGGTACAATAACCCGGGCGCGACACGCGGGACGGTCTGGCACCGAGCATCGCTCGTCGTCATCTTTGTTCCCCTCTGCCGCCCCCCTGCTGCGGTTATATCCGAAGCGGAGCGCATTCTACGCCCTCGTCGATGACGTTAGAGGCGAACGCGGCCCACGGAGCCGTCAAGTACGAGCTAATTCGCTTCTTTGCCCCTGGTTCCATTTTTAAAGATCACACGCCGTTTTCTCACACTTCGAAAGTAAGATCGACGATTTTGTTTTGACGGGATGTGTAAAAAAATGGCTCCATTCAAAAAGACAGAAGTGATCCTTGAAGCAACTTTATCTGGAACGAAGTCGTAAATTCTAACCAATCTATTTTTTTCTTCTGCGCGAAACGTAATCTAAATTTTTTATCGCTTATCTACATACAATTATCGATATCTCGTATAACTGTGTCGGAAATAGGTTTTCTTCGAAAATAAGATTAACGATTTTATTTTCGACGAGATTTGTGGAAAAGAGTCGCATGCTTTATTCAAAAAAGACAGAAGTGACCTCTGAAGCTGCATCTAGAACAAAGTTATAAATCTGTCCAATCTATTTTTTCTTCAATAAACGTAATAAAAAATTTTTACCGCTACCTATATTTGATTGTCGATTTATCGCGTAATTGTTTCGAGTTGCATTTAGTTGATTCTATCATTAACTTAGTTCTCTAATTGACATTGCGTGCTCAATCACTCAATTAATACATCGAATAGTCGTTGAGTATGTAATTAGTTTTATTAGTTTCTCGACACGATATTTCTCTCGAAGTAAAATAATTTGAATATGAAAAATATTTTTCAACAACAAATAAAAATTTAAAAGATGATTACGAAAAGAGATGAAAATGGGATATACTCCGTATATCCAGTGCGTTCCTAATTGAATTTGGACTCATGAAAATTTTAATAGCGCTATGATTAGTATCGAATGCAAATCGGAAAACGTTTATATGCGGCAAGGTCTCGTTCCTTCGATCGAGGTCTAATCGAGGGCGGCCTCCGCCAATGGAAACAGTCGTTATCCAGCGTTATCCAGCGGCGTTACCGGGAGTCCCGCGGTTTTCTGGCTTGGCGTTTTCTTATCGGTGCCTTCTTTTGCGCGAGTCTAAGCGCGATCGCGTTATCGCGACACCGTCAATGCCAACCGTGGATTTGTATTGCAATTCGCGACTATTGCGTGTGCGTTTACGCGTACCACTGTCACGCTATCGCTAATCGGGCACAGTATATCGGCCGATACCGGAAGGCATCACGCGTTATTGCCGCGACGGAACATCAGAAATGCTAAGATTACCGGTGCCGAGCGGATGGCTGTAATAGTTAAGAACAAGTTGATATCGAGCTATTTGAGCTTCAATGTGTGGTTTTTCTTTTTCGCTGTGAAACAAAAAGCGTAGAAATAAGAAAAGAAAGAAGAATAGTGAATCTGATATAAAAAACAATAGTAAATTTCTGATACAAAAAACATGTTATTTATGACTGACCTATTTATGAAATTGATTGAGATGATTGAGATGATTGAGATGACACTGATTATTTATTCACCGCAATTATGGCGTTAAAATTAAATAAATAATAAAGGGAACTTTATTCAACTTTTACAACGTCGCTCCATTTTTGCGCTTCGTAATTGTTCCGATTTTGCCGTTCCGAAAAAAAAGGACGGTACTTCACGTTTCCGCTCTGTAGGTCTTTTATCGCGCGTTTATACGCACGCGTGTTTATTTCGGTCGATTTCCGTTCGTCGTAGCGCGGTTGCATCAGCAGCCTCGCGATAGCGCGCGGCATGCGTGCGAACCGGGTCGCGATGGACTTTGTCAGAAACACGACGCGGAGTTGAGGAAACGTTTCCTTTTTATTTCTTTCATCGCTACCTCGGCGCTCCTGTTCGTCATTATCGTTTTATTAGATTGATGTAATCGAATGGACAAATAAAGTCATAAATCTCATACCGGTATGCGAACAGCGTGTTTTCTCGCATCAGGTGTGCCTTTAAAAGGCACAAACGGATGCATGCGATTCATATCCGCCGTGATTTCCTTGGGAAACTAAAGAAAGTCGATATATAGATCGGGATGTGTTTGTGCGAGGCGATCGCGACCCAATTCTGTCGGCTGTTGCGTATAAGTATTTTTCATCGACTGCCCGGCTACCTTCTCTTCTCGTGCAGGCCGGATCGCTTTCTTCCTTCACGCCACTTTTCGGAGTGCCGAAACGCGACCTTCTCGTTCTCGTTTGCAGACGCACGCTCGAATGGAATATTCCCGCGCCCAAATGTAATTGTTAACGATTCTCGCGGTATATCAGTCTCCGATAAAAATTCAAGGTTTTCACGATTATTTAAATTTATAATAGACATGTATTTCTCCTTGTAGCATTTTTTAAATAGCACATAGGGTCGCTACACACACACAGCTGCGTGTTAGGGTCATTCAATCGCGCTTTTATTTCGAAAATGAGAATAACTCATCCATTAACCATAAGCATTGGTATTTTTGTTTCAGGCAGCTGCGCGAGGGAACGCTTGCGGAAAACGGCCTGCTGAACGACAGTCGACTCACGCTACTACCGAGCGTGGAAACCGGACTGTTGGTAAGTTGAACTTTCGTGTCCTGCACTCGCACGTGAGTATTAATCAAATCAACCCACTGCGCTTGGCACGGTAATGAGTAGTTATCAGTACGGTTTTTATCGTGCATCATCGCGTTGCCGTAAAGACGAACTACGGACTCGCACGGGAAGATCCGCTAAATCCTCGTTGCTCTCCTTTCCTTCCTGCAGGAGAAAAATATATTTCACGAGATGGTCATTGAACGATTATAAAAAATTTGACACAAATATTTTCTCACACAATTTATATTGGGTTACTAGGGTTGAGGTATTCAAATTTTTTCTTTGAAATCGTTTTAAATGACTTTGAGCTGAAGCTTTTATCGCAGCCTTTCGATCATTCGCCGATCGCGATTCGATATCAGTGAAACGCAATTCCGATAAGCGAAATTCCAGTTGGCTCACGCGATCGGCAAAACCCGAATCGAAATTTCATCTCTTGTTAATATGATAAATTGAAAATTTGTATCATACCTTTGACATTTTCCAAGCTCACGGATTTCGAGATATATTCAATGAAATTTTTTATTCAACGTAATACCGTTAAATATATGTCTTGATTCCAACTGTTACGAAACCAATTTGTTGATACTACACGGAGAAAATTTTATATAAAAAATTACTACGGCAAAATAGCCGCGGACCATAAGAGAAATTATAAATTTACATACTATGGTCATTATGTGAGAAACATAGTAAAAATTTTTATAATTTTTTCATAGTTCGCGACTACATAATATTTTTTGATATAAAATTTTCTCTGTGTGATATAAAATTTTCTCAATGACAGAATAATAAATCGTGAACTTGATCGCGCATAAATTTTACGCGAACAATCTAATGTCGCTATTGTGTAGCAGCATATTTAATCGATTGAATAATTGATTGCTCATTTGATATTTACATTTAGATGCAAATATTGTTCAGTGGCTTGTGTTTGAAACAAGTGTAATACCCAACTATAAAATAAAGAAATTTATTTTTGTTGGGTTGAAAGTTGGTATGTGTGCAAAAGAGAGGAACAGCAGAAAAGAACTTTTGCAGAAACTTTGGAAAAGATTCGTGTTTGACGAGACTGCGATTTTATTGGGGAACTGTGTATATTGTATTGTCAAAGTCCGAAGGATCAACAATCCTAAGACTGTCTAGGCAAGTTTGGAGGAGTATATCGCAAAAAAGGAGAAAAATTTCAAGCCTCTGTAATATTATTTTGCGTGTCTTATTATATTAATATAATTTTGTAAAAGTTAAAAAAATTTGAATCAATTTTTAACAGCTATAAAAAATTAAAAAAAAATCATTAAACTGCATTTTAAAAACATATTATAATCATTTATTACAAAAAATAAAAAAAAACTTTTGCAATGTGATTTTTTAAGTCCTACAACGGCAAGACGGCGGAAGGTAAAATTCGATACTTAAATTTCGATGCGGGAATGTAACGCTATTCGCTTTTTCTGTCGCGTCCGCGATTACAACCCGGATTCGCGCACCGGGTCTCTATCCTGGAACCGTTCGTCGCTCGTTCGCTGGTGCGAGGGAGATGACGGTGTCTTGGATGCGAGGAGAACGTATACGGGGCTCGCGATCCGCGCGGACAAACGCCGTTAACTCCGGCGTTCGCGTATCGTCGGGTCACTTGGTTTCTCGGTCACACCATATCGTCTTCGACATCTTTATATTCCGCGGATATTCATCTGATCCGGCGATTATCGCAATCTTAACTCCCCTTAACTTTTAATTTTTTAAAAATAAATTTTCGACAAAAATAAATAAGTATTTTTTATGGCGTATTTTATTTAGCGTATTATGTGCAATTATTTGGTATGTCGCGTTAGTTTTCTACAACGAATACTTGTCAATTATATTTTTTTCTTATCTTGAAAGAGGCAGGTTGTTTACTTTTGAGACCTCTTTTCTGTGTTGCTCATTGATCAATTCGCGTTGCGCGTTAGTTCGTATTATCGCGTGGTTGTCATCGCGACGTTTGCGTTAACTTTTTTGGTTATTATCGATCGATTGAGATAGTTGCGTCTAACGTTACTTTGACAGAACATAAGTTAAACTAAGTGCATTTCAGAGAATTTGAGAATGGGAGAGATTTTAATAGAAGTAGAAAGGTTTAGAAAGAATGAGAAATGAGAGAAGAAAAAAATGGCGCGCGCTTGTGTTGCATAGTATGTTATATTAAAATTAAACAAATTAACGCTGTAAATATATAAATTTTGGAGGAGCGCGACACAAATTTCGTTGAGATTAGCTCGTCACACATGCTCGCAACATCTGTCGCAGAAATCGGTGCGCGTAAACATATGACGCCATATGACTCCAGGCAATGTAATGTTTCGTAAAGTCTGACCGAAGTAACGTAACGTAACTTGACCCTAACTGGCCACAAAGCAGCAGCACACAGGTGCTGTTTTTCGCCTATCAGCCTTTAGGAAACACGTAGTAACTTCACGGAAACGGACTCTCTCCCCCCTCGCTGCGTATTTCCGCTTAAGAATTACGCGACCGCGGAGGATGTTAATGAGGAACAGCGAAACGGATAGGTCGACGTAAGCGTAACACGCATGGAAACGCTCGAAACCTTTTTAATCGCTCTCGTTCACGAATGAAGTCTGAAGAAGTGTTTAATCCCTTTAACACAAAAAGACACTAATTCAATTGCTGCTTGTTTAGTTCGATATTCGGCATTATTTGTAAATTTTCGGAATCGTCAATTTATCTTTGAAAATAATAAGATTATCTATGAAATTGCGACAATATTGTTACAATTAGAATTTATATATACATACATAAATATACAACTCGCAATGCTGCAAGCATTTATAAAATGCTGAAAATTTCCGGTAGAGGAATAATCTCGACTTTCTCCGGGCTCCGTGTTCGAACTCGCTTCGCCTGTGAATGAACTCCCAGTTTTCAGGCGTCGAAGGGGTTGAAGGCATTACGGTAGGGACACCGAGGTCTTTCTCTCTTTCCCCTGAAGTCTGAAATTGACTCCAGCCCGGGCTCGAGCCGCTAGCAACAGCGCGCGCGCGTTTCCCGGGTCCTTATCGCACGACCGAGACTTGTTCGCATGGCTGTCAAGGGGGACCGACCGCTCGCTCGCTCGCCCGTTCTCGGCTCTCGGTCACCCGCAGTCAATTTTAAAGCCCGTTTCTGTGTGGGTACGCACGATCGAGCCGGATGCGCGTTTGTGTGCGTATGCGCGCGTCTCCCTTTCTCTCTCGCCCCTCGTCGTTACCCCGCGTTTCTAGTCGTGATCGCAAGGCATACAGGGTGTCGTGGAAAAGAAGACACGTGTCGCTACGTTCTGCAATTATTCCCCTATATTATTATGTAACACTCTTTGCGTGAATATTTAAAATATTCCATAATATTTCATGATTATTAAATATTTGGTTCAAAAACCATCGCGTAATTCAAAAACTTTTACGTTAAATATTTTCAATAATTAAAATCATTATCTTCGATATATTTCAGAGTTTTAGTTTGCGTGCGAATAGCTTTGAGATATTAAAACTATTATAATTTCATTAAATTTAACATTTTGTGATACAGACAGATGGAAAAAAAAATATATTTCATGTAATTCTCGTGTATTTGCCAAATTCTGAATCCATCAAAATTATTATTATCAATTTCAATCTCTGGATTTTTTTTTGCAAACAAATTTGGTATTGACAATTTTCCGTAGGCGTTTATAAATTTATGGGTACCGCTTCACATGCTTTTTGACACACTATAGATATCGCTCGTGGGTGGTAGCTTTGACACGCTCTGTAGATATCGCTACAAGGCAAGAGCGAGACCTATGGGCCGGGTTTACAGTAGGGATGGGATTTAATTAAAAAAATAATCAATGTTTAAATACTTAATTATAAAAAATATCGATTTTTCACAATGGATTATTTTTTAAAAACCGATTATTAATTGATAAAATGAAATAATTTCAATTTTCCATAAAAAAAGAAAAAATTATTTTTCTCATAATCTAGGAGATTTTTATTATGTACGTGTGCCTTCAACCTAACAAAATTTTAGGACTTTGATACCAAATCCTGCTTTTTTCCTCTGTTCGATTCAATTTATCTCTATTCTGTTCACTATTATTGATGGTTTTATCTCGATCGAGTCACTCGATATATTTCTTTTTATCAATCGATGCTTTAAAGTTACTGGTTTTCTGAAATGTTTGATGATCAATACTCATTGTATGATTGATCAATACTCAATCCTTCTCTTTCCTTATCGATATTTATTTAAGATGTATTTTTAGCTTTTTCTAAATTAAGCGACCGATCTTCTTAAAAAACTTACATTAAGACTTCAAATGCTGCAAAGTTTTCCTCTACCAAAATGTTCTGTAAACTGTACGGATATTTAAGTTTCTTGAATTTGTTGTAAACTTCCGCTCTTGCCGCATCATAAGGATTAATCGAATCTAAAAATATCGATGAAACTATCGATTTAATAAAAAAAAAGAATCGATGCATCGGTCAAATATATTGCCCATCCCTTGTTCGCACACAGCCCAGACTCTGCTGCGAAAACGAGCGAGCGAGCGACAGCGCGCGCGCCTCGCGATCGAAGAGCAGCGTTTCGTAGCGCGCTCTTTATCTCTGCGCGTTCCTTTTTTCCTCGTCCGAGCACTCGCTCGACCCGTCGAGGGAGAAAGAGAGAGGGAGAGAACCCAGTCGGCTTTTCGGACTTCGTCCGGCGCCGCTCTCCCCGGTTCGTGAAATCACCGTTAGATGTTGGTAAAATGGCAGAATCCATCTTCGCCGGAGTCCGATTAATTTCGATGCTACCAAGCCAGTCTCGGCGATGTTTATATGCAGAACGCTTTCGTAGCACCTTTCGGCTATTTGTCAAGGTGCCAATTTAGATTAATCCTGGATTACTCCTATTGAAGTCCGATAGTATTCTCCTGCGGAGGAGTGAAAGTTCACTCGTGATTAAAGATACAATTTTTTGTTTATTTATGTCTACTGCGCGTTTTTAGATATTTGCATTGTATTTTTTATATATTAGTTTTACAGATACATGTATTATTTTTAACATGTTTCCGTTTGAAGATAAAAAAATGAGAAAAGAAAGCATTGATTATTAACACTTAAAGTGAACACGTTTTTTTTAGCACCTCAATACTGAACACGTGGGTCACGTGACGTCCGGGCCAATTTTTTCACTAAAAGATCATCTGGAAAATTCTGAAAAATTGTTAACATATTCTTTGAAGTCTAAAGTAAGATTTTATATCATAAAGTTTAAAAAAAAATTAATTAATAAATTTTGGTTCTTTTGAAAATCGATAAGTTAGAAACGGGCCGGAATGACTCAGGTGGTCACTTTAGGCGTTAATGGAGATGTAATTTACTTTAAGTATTGTCGAGGATAATATAAAGACCCTAAACTAAATCCCCTTCAAAGTGGAAGTTTGCTTTTTTTACATCGCTTAACCATCGTCTCCATTGTATTCATTGTTCGAGATTTTCTGACACTTTTAAAGATGATCCTCTTGTCCCGAGCGCTCCTTTTTACCTGAGAATGCCATCGTCAACCCTTGTACGAATTAGAGAACTGCTTCTGTCCAGTTTCTAGGTTTCCGGTGTTTTGGCTAAATGGGCAAACAAGATTATCGCGTTGAGGCGATACACACCCATTTTACGGTAAATTGATTTCACGCCCGAAGATGACGACGGCAGGCCAACTGGCGTACCGGCTATTTCCGTCGGAAATAGACGGCCATTGCCCACAATTAACCGTTGGATAATTGCGATAGAATTCGACGGATTATCATCGTGTTTATTCCCGAGTGTTTAAATAGCCGATCTGAGTTCACCGCTCACTTCTGAACGCTCAAATGAAGCGACAAATGCATTAAAAGACGCGTAAACAAAAGATTTAATCGAGCAATTTTCACCCGCGCGTAGAAAAGCGAAAGGTGAAATTATTCTCACGGAAAAATAAAAACTGCGGAAGTATTCAATATGAAATTCAGCTATTTTATTACGGTACTTTTCGGTAAAGAGAAAAATGTAAAAAAATGTCGAATATTACTTTTTCGTAATAACGTTTTAGATTTTTCTCTTTACTATTGCGCGATCGGCTCAATCTATTTGACACCCGTTTCGCTTTCATTATTACTTTCTCTCGTTTCCTACATGATTAGTATCAGCTCTCGATAAACTCGCGGTATATATAGAAATTTCTCCGAGCGATTTCTGGAATATAATTGATAGATCGGATATAATGCAACATACTCTTTGTGGAAAGAATTGAAAAATTAATCTTATGATTGAGAAAATTGAGTTTAGATTTTTTTCCCCAGAGTCTTTAAAGCGAATTACGCGCAGCGCTTAAGTTTTTAAATGGTCCATCGCGATTTACGAGTCTCATCCGATCGATCGTTGCGCATCAAGGAAGTTCGCTGCGGGAGTCGCGGACGATTGGGTACTGAGAGTGGGCCCGATTAGTTAATCGTTTTGCAAGAGCGTTTCACCGAGTGACGAGACCGGGACTCGCTATATTCACGAACGAACGAAAGAATGCCTGATTTGGCTTGAAAGGCGAAGCGCAGATATGAGACTTAATTTATAAATATAGATGCACGAATAAAAAGAATGTCGAAGACTTTTTTTTTAAGTTGTTGAGAAAGAATGAGCTATCAATTTGTCAATTTCAGCGAAATTTTAAAGTTTATTTATGCGTATTTTTAATTAAATTCCTACTTATTTACAATAACAGAACATTTATCAATTGAAATTAAGAGTTTTTTGTATGCAAAGTGTTTTGGTATAATATGTTTTTCTACATTCTAAACTCTCAAAATATATAAAAAGAAATCACAGACGTGCCGATGTGTGATGCAACTCGCATAAAAAGCCAATCAAGTAAACATACTATCATTCTCGTGCTACTTTGACATTGCGAACAACTGACACCGGTATCTCATCCCGGCTATGAATAGAGTTCTATTGCACTTTAATGCGACACGTGGAGCGAGCGCATCGGTTCGATAGCCTTCACTGCGCGTTTTCGACGCAGCCGTTGCAAGTCACATCGGAAGCCAAACCACAAGCAACTATCGTGCGAGCCAGTCAGTCGGCTTCTTATATTTAGCTCCGACGATTAATAATTGGTAGCAACTATATGAATGGTATTAATTTAACATCCGGCGGGACTCTCCCCCGCGCCACTGTCCATCGATCGCGACCTATGAATATTGACGCGGAAAACAAACTTTGATAGTAGTCCCGAGATAGCGTCAACTCGATCCACGCTGTAAAAGTGATAATTCATATTTGTTTGCCGATACTTGAACGGATACTTGGTCACTCTTAAGACCAACCGATTATTAAGTATGCGATACGCAGGCACGCGTGAAGGTCACATTCTCGTATGTGGCATTTTTACATTGCATTTTTGCATATGAAGTCTACGTGATGAATCGTTACTTGTAAATGAACGATAGACAATGGCTTATTGAATGCAAGAATGACTGAATAAATTTTTTAGCGACATTACAATTTTATAAGAATATAAATTTGAGAATAATAAAAAAAGATGGATCACATGAATCTGTAGCTTTGAGTTGCAAGTTGATCGAAAGTTTGAACGATCTTTTATCAATTGATTTTAACACGCGAGAAATAAAAAATAAATTTTTATTTGTTATTTAATTTAGATTTTACTTGCCATTTGGACTTAGAATTTATTTAAACAACAGAATTTTAGTATATCTCTCAACAATTTTAAATAAAAAATAAAAGAAATTTTTTAAAGTTATGGCTGTTAATAATTTTTGTTTAAGAAAATTTTCCATTTTTAGAAAAATTTATAGACGAAGTTTGTGTGTGTACTTTCAATACACGTGTGAAGGTCTTGCACGACGTTTAGATTATTTTAATAGCGGGCCTTTTATGTAATGTTGTGGGTCTCCCGGATGTTTCTTTGTTAAAAAAGAATACATTTCGCAGTGACAAGGTCGGTTTCCGCGAAATCGGGACTTTCGTCGAAACGAGTCCGCGAATCGAATTACCGAATCCGACAATGACTGCGTCCGGCGAAAGGAAGTCCGTTAGGTGTGAGGGATGCTTCGTCGAGGGTGTGAACCTTGATTCCGCGAGGTTTCCTCTCTTCTGCAGGTCTTCTCGCGCGTCTATCTCGCGTCGCGACCACATCGATTCATCGCGTTTCATCTTGTATTCGCACCAAAAAGCATCGATACGATTTGTATTCGATTGTTAAAAAAAAACGTGGAATGCTGAACTCTCTAAAGCAAACATCATTTTGTCACGATCACGCCTTATATTGCAGCGCGAGTTATTTTTGAATGAAGTCCTGTTGCCTTGTTAAATTCGAAACCTGTTAATTATTTTTTGTCGCCACCAAATCCGCGAACAAATAAATATTTTCAGCGTACCGGCGAATTTATCGGAGGTGCGTGTACACAGCTTGTCTGAAATTAACAAAGCTTATCTCGATTGACACGTCGCGATCGTTGTCGCACTTGGAATAATGATTACAGATAATAACCATCTCCTTTTTCATCATTGTTTCAGGCGCAACGGCCGGAGCAGAGCGTGATGCAAGCCTTGGAGAGTCTCAATGACTCACAGGTGAACGACTTCTTGTCCGGTAAAGCACCGCTGAACCTTACGATGCGTTTGGGCGATCACATGATGCTGATCCAACTGCAACTGTCAACTGTAACCCCGGCTTCGGGGGGAGGGCCGGCACCCGCCAATCAGGCGGGTTCCGCCAGCGGCAATAGCCACAGCCACGGCAGCGGCGGCAGCACCGGTGGCATGGCCATCGGCGGGAACACGACGAACGTCTCCAATCTACCTGGCAGCCACGTTTCCTCCTCGCTGCAGACCAGAAGATGTCTTTCCGCTAGATCTTCGGGAAGTGTGAAGCCGCAGAGCGCGCAAGCCGCTGCGTCGGCCGGCAGAACGTCGCACTTCATCAGCAGCCTCGCAAACGCCCTGCACGCCGCCGCAAGTTACAGCAACAGCAGTAGTCTACCCACCGCTAACATCACCAACACTACCACCAGTCCGGTCTGCTCCAGTCGGGTTACAACGTCGCCCGTTTCCTCCACTATCAGCCCGGCGCATTCGTCGTCCAGCAACTCGAGTCAGTCCTCGCGCGGCAATCATCACGGCGTGTCGCCCAGCAGCGGCTCCTCCGGCACGTGCCAGCCCTATCCGCCCTATCACCATCATCTTCATCATCATGGCCATCACCACGGCCATCACCACAGCTACCACCACCACCACCACCACCACCATCATCATCACCACTCGAGGAACAAGTCCAGCTTGCCCAGTCTCTCCTCTCCTTCCTCCTCCTCTACGTCGGGTTCCGCCCCGATTCAGGAACAGTCCGCCTCGGAGTCGGTGTCTTACGACGCGACGTTGCCAAGGAAGAAGCTCTGCGCCGGACACCATCATCACGGCCAGCAATCGTCCTCGGTGACTCCCAGCGGTGTGGACGCCACGAGGAGTCAGCACGACGAGTCGAGCCCGCAGAGCCCCACCTGCACCTCGTCGCTGATGATGGAGCAGTCGTCGCCGCCGAAGCCCGCCACTCTCGACACCCGAGCACTCGCCGAAGCGTCCCGGAACCTCACACAGAAACTGAAGCAGCTCTCCTCTGAGGTACTCACCTCGCGGGTCGACCTCGCCGAGGTATACATTGTTACCGAAGCCAGTTCCCCCTGTGTACCATTATTCGTATTCATGTATTCGTGATTGAGCCGCGTGTCAATTAAGGTCCTGAGAGGCGTGTCGATTCGGTCTCTGCGAATTGGATTGTCTGCCTTAACAAGATGCAATTTTCCGGTAATATTAAGTTTGTTTCTTGATGTCGATAAAAATTTAATAAAATGAATGCTATTCGCTCTTGTACTCTCAGGTCCTTAAAATATTATCATTTATGTACATTCAATGTCATTTTACACTGTTAATGTCGACGGAATCCGAATCTTACTGTTTTAAAGTGAAGCAAAATATATATACACAATTAATATTGTACATTAATGTCACTTTTATATTGTATTCTTTGAAAAATTGGTATCGTTTTATGTGTTTAATATTTTAACATAAATATTTTATATTTATATATTTTTCTTTAAAGTAATTTTGTGCAGATAAATATAAAAACAGTAGTGTAACGTGTACATTTTTACGAAATTGATCAAATGTCTTCATAAAAGCTTTTAATTGTCGGAATATAAACAACAAGTTCTTAAGTATAGATTTGTTCGAGATCTATTTTGATCGATTTTGTAAATTATGTAGCGTATGAAGCGAAAAGCACGTTTCTCGATGCAACGAGGAATTTTACATATTCTTTTAACTTTAGGAGAACGCGAGACGCAGGCAAGGTGCGATAATAGAGAGTATGCATCATCATGGCAAGGGTGTGTATTCTGGCACGTTCAGCGGCACTCTGAACCCGGCCCTTCAAGATAGACACGGCAGACCGAAGCGAGATATCAGCACTATCATTCACATTCTGAATGACTTGCTCTGTGCGACGCCGGCCGCATCCGCAGGCCATTACAGGCATCATCATCACAGGCATTCGCACGCTCGCCAACAGTCCTCGATGTCCTCGTCTTCTGCTGGCACAACAACCACCGCAAGTGGATCTGCTACATCGGTCGGCTGTCATGATTCCACGCCAGGATATTCCAACGGTACGTATCTATCGCTAATGAATGAAATTTGAAAGAAATGTAGTAAAAATATACAGCATGCTAAAATTAACAACACGATAATTCAATGTATGCACGTAACACGAAAATTTTACAAATGACTTAATCGTAACATCTTTTCGAAAAGCTCCGTCCGGAAGTTGTCCGCTTAGAGATTTCGCGGTGTCGTCGGCTTCCATTAATATTGATACCAATATTATATAACGCTTGCAGAGGAACTGTCGAAGGAGAACGAGGCGACAAAGGGCAAGATGCGCCGGTTGCGCTTAGTCATGGAGCAACGTCGCGCCAAGAGGAAAGCCAGGAGACAGGCGCGAGCCGCGCCGTACACTACGCAGTGGGCGGCGATGACTCCCGCCGATTCGAACCACGAGCCGAAGTCGACGGCGACCTCGAGCGCCACCACCACCACCAACAGCGCGGAGCCGCAAAACGAGCCTGAGCTTCAACCGTGCAGTCCCGAGCCGGTTGTGGCTTAAACACTACGTCAACACTGTCAGTCAATTCACGGCACAGTAGTATCCTCTATATCGTATACATAGAGTATAATCGTCTCTTTTCCGTTCTTACCTGTTCGCACTGATTTATTCCAAAAGAAAGAAAGAAAAAAAAAAGAAACGCAGGGTCCTAACGACGTAATCACGTTAATTTCAGTGTAACTCGTTCTGATCGACACGTAACCAAACGCTGCAACGTCTTAAATGTTTTAACATTAATTTGATGTTCGTCTTTGATAATCGATACGATTGAGATCATTATCGCGGGTTCAAGTCTTTGTCCATATGATGCAAATATCTCGATTCTCCGTTATATTTTGCGCTATATTATATAAACACATGTCACTTGGAAGAATAAGTTAACTAATGGGTCGGAGATTCGTCTCCCCTTGAATTATAATGTTCGAATTGAGGATTATCTCGCTTAGTGTGAAGTCTATTATTTTTTTTACACATAGTATTCAGAATACATTTAATCAATATACTGTTTTTTTCTGCTCATTTTTCGTCAATTTTTAGCTTAATTGCAAGATCGCGGTTCTGCGAAACTCGGAATTTCATGCATTAATGCAATGCGCAATATTTATGCATTAATTTATAGTCACATAATCATGTCTTTCCATGGCTTTTTTATATATTTTGTGAGAACGATTGTTTGCTTAAAATTATTTTTCATATTGATGATTATAACTTCATATTAATTATTGAATGCTGCGCGAATATATTTTTTTATCTAATTTTGCCGTCTTCTCACTGTCAATTTATTCTTCATTTGCGTTAGTATTTATCATATTTCGAATTCATGCAATCTATAATGTCAAGCTGTAAATGTTTCGGTGAGAATTGAAATAAATGATAGTGCGTTTACACATTACGCAATATATAGCGCAATATTTATCGCTTTAATAAATGTATGACTTTCATTATGTCTGACATTATCGCTATGTATTTTTTTCGTATAACGGAGAACTGGATATGTTATAGATATCAGTCCAATTTTATGGATATTGACGATTAACAAAACGATGATCTCGCAGTGTTTGGACTCAGGACTTGATCGTAGTTGACAATAATTACGCTCGGCGAATGAATCAGTGTGACGGTTTTATGTATCTACACATCGACATCGCGCGAGAAGTCGATGATCGTTTTGAGAGAAGAGAGAGAGAGAGAGAGAGAAAGAGAGTGAGAGAGAGAGAGAGAAAGAAAGAGCAAAAGCTCCTATTAAGGCTCCTATTAATGAATCCTATTAAGAAACTTCCTGCTAGGATTAAAACTCGCCGATAAACACACCACGCGTTTAAGAAACAAAAGAATAAAGAACAGTATCGCCATCGTTTTAACTGTGCGGTTACTCCACGATAATTATTCTCTCGCTATCGGGCACTTTAATCGAAGTCTTCTACGTAGATGCGAGTAGGACCTTAATCGTGCGCGCTGTACGGATTGCATAGAAAGACTGTTTCGAAAAGCAATGGCAGAGCTCGCGTCTCGCCGAGCTCTCGACGAGGAATTGTTGTCGTGTGAAATGATAAAGAGGAAAAAAAAAGAAGAAGAAGAAATCTGTGTGTGCGTGAAATTTTTGCAAATTTGTATTTCGTGTCTCTTACGGACTTGATCGAAATCGTCGCAATTTTTTATAAATATCAAGTGTACTTTTCAACGTTATCTTTACATTTAGTTTTGTATACGACATAGGCAAATGACATTTGTTGCAATACTTTCCATTAATCTTTCTCATCGGCTGCTCATTGGATGTCGCGCACATCGAATATATTTTTTGTCCAATGTTGCTGTTTTCCCAGTGCCTGATGAAGCGAAAATTAGCAAGGCGCAGGGTACGCCGTATTCTTATTCAAAGTTTCTTTTTCTTATTGTTTGCACTTGTTGTTCGTTCTCGATATGTCAATATTTGTTCGTTTATGTTCGAAGTTTGTGCAATCTGCCCTTCAGGGCAACATCTAACGATAACTCCAGAAATTTATATTTAAGACATTAACGTTTCGATTACACAAAATGAGAGAAAAAAGTAACAAATAAATGAAAAAAAAGTGAAAGCGAGGGAAATGAAAGATTATTTTGTATGTGATGCGCAGGATGATCCAGAGACAGAGAGATCATAATGTTATATATCTAAGTAGCATGAGAAGCGGATCAATCAAGTCGAAAACAGGATATTCATATCAGTTTTTGTAGAGTATACACATTTTGCGATATGGTGTAATCGCTGGTGGAATCATCTGAACACTTGGTTGCCCCTTGTTAGGAACTACACTAGATATTATTCTTGGAAGAGAAAAGATAATAGCGGAAAAATAAATGATGAAGGCGTATATAAAGACGGTTTTGTAGCTGAAAAGTTATGTGATCGTACTGCATGGCATGCTACGACGGCACGATTTGTTTAAGATAATTAGGTACTAGAGATAATACAAAAAATGTCACATGCTACTAAGTACATTGCGTTTTAGGTTTACTTTTAGGAAAGAAGAAAATATTACCATTATTACATTATTATATATATATCGTTAGTACCGCGCTATTACAATTTTTGCAAAACTGGCTCAATATTGTAATATACGACTACCGGAACATTTCGAGTACCAAAATAAATAAGATTGCTTGCTAAGCTAAGGACAAGTTTATTTTCAGATTTTGTTGAATGCGCGAGTTTGTCTCTCGCGCGTTAAGCGTATTTGTTATTGTTATCGTTATGTTACTCGTCTCTGTGACTTTATTCGTCGGACCGCCGAATCGATCCCTATTTTTATCAACTACGCGATTAGTTAGTATAATGCGGAAAAGTTAACAGAGAAACTTTATTTCGTTTTCGATTTTAATCGATAAGATATAAAAATTAAAGGGGAAAAAAATATAGTGGTCATATTGAATTAGATTAAAGTTTATTTCTATATATCGATTTACATCGATATATATATATTATATATACATATATATCCCGTAAAATTGTTTATTTAAATTATGTCTTAAATTACAATTGTAGAAATCTATCGACGCTTAAAAGTTTACGCTATAGTTTTATCATAATATAACATCTTTTGTAGTATACGCCGCACATACCTAAACGACAATACAGCTACTATTATAAAAAAAAAGGAAAGAGAAAAAGGAGGAAGAAAGCTAATATCATCTTGACGTAATCAGATTGGCATAGTCGCAAATTATACGTTTCTTATCGTGAACGTAAAATTCGCGATGCGTTACCCTGAAAGGACCGTTCTCGTCCCAGCACAATGTTCTATAAAAATCGCCCTCGATTTTCCAGTCACCAGTGGAGAAATTACGCTAGCTAATGTAAAAATCGATTGAGTACGCAGCTCCGAACAACGGGGTACACATCTTACACCTTACTCGTATTAAATAGAAGTTCTCTATGCGTCTCGAATACAAGTTTTTCGTTGTGTTGAGTAGAAAGGCAAGATGTCTAATACTGATAAAAAAGATTCTCCCATGAAATATTTCGTAGCGTTTATTTCTCCAAGTAATTTGAGGATTCCTCGATCAATCCTCGCGTTAATAAGCTTGTACCTTAAGAATTGTCGACTTTTTTTTTTATTATTAAACGCGAACGTGTTTTTTCATGTTGTCTCGACATACGTTCTAATGGGAAGCGCGCTTAAAATTAATTGGTTCCATGCTGTCGCATTTGATCACAAACGATTATTTTATACAAAAAACGGATTATTTTATATAAATGAGTACAATTTTCCTATCTAGAGATTTGGCTATAAGATTGGATGTTTTCTTTCATTATATCTCTTACTTATATTACATAAAATATTTGTCGAATGATGTAATGGCGAAAATACGGAAGAAAGGGGTACATTTGAACATTTGAAAAATCCACTTATTTTACACGTATACAAATGGAAAATTTTCATCAGATAAAAACAGTTTTTGTCAAAACATTTTTACTATTTTAAAACTATGAAAACTTTCCATTTTTATACGAAATATTAACTTTATATTAACTTTATATTAATTCTAGTGCTGTCAAATAACCAACATATTCATAATAAGTAAAAAAGACAATACAAATTTATCAAAATTTAATTGTGAATTAATTTAAAAAAAATGTTGGAATAAGTTTAAAAAAATTCAAGTAATTGAAGACTGAATTGTCTAAGTTGCGTAACCCTTCTTCCTCAGTCGCTCATAAAACAACATAAACTCGCATGATCTAAAAGTTTTCGAGCATTTAAAAACATATAGTGAGATATGTACGGAGATTTCTATGACCTCTTCTATGATTGTTACCGCGTGTCTCGCGCGTCAAAATGAGAAGCTCGCTTTCTCGTGCTCGTTATCCGCGCGCTCTTCAAATGTGGGTAAAAAATGGACGGGATAAAGCACAGGCAATACGCCGATTCGTAAGGAAAGAGAGGCGTACACAGCGTACTTATTATGCATTGCGCACGTTTCGCCAAGACACGAGATACCCCTCTTAGCGATATTAATTAATCTACTTAATCTCTGAAAAAATCAACAAAGAGTAACGCAAGATCCAGCTATCTCGTATCCGAGCAAAACGCGGATCTCGTGACGCGTATATATCTTTCTCGCTATGGCACGACGTTGGCGCGACATAATGGAGCGTCGTTTTTCCGTGTAATCTGTCGCGAAAAAGAAGTGTACGTTTTTGGCAGTTTAATTTCCTCGGAACACGCCCTTAACGTACACATAAATCGTATAAATTTTCTACGTTATCACCACAGTCGGCAAAATCTATTTTTCACAATTCGCACGAATGTATATAAAGCGTTTCGAGAGGAATATGCAATACTTCAGTGAGAAAATGCTTCCCGCGAATGTCTCGTCTCGAACTGCAAGATGCATGAACAATGCATCGAAGAAGAAATTTTTAGAAACTCATTTTTAAATTCTAAGAAATGGTTATTTTTGATTATCATCGAAATGATGACATCGCGCAACCGCTTACTTATTTAAATCATCGCGGCGCCCAAGCTATTTTGAGACTAGACATACATTTATTGGAAATGTTTTACTCGCGATAACTATTATTGGCCGAAGTATCGATTGTTCCTCCCGGAATATTTCGTGTATGCGTATACCGGTTGAAAAGCCAACGCGAATATTCCCAAGTGCCGGTTGTTCAAGATTTAATATAAATTAATTTTCTTCGTGATCGTCTTACGGCACATGTGACAGGTTTTCAACGGGGCAGCACAGTGCTCACACGCGCCGTGCCCACAAAGGAAGGCGACGTTACGACGGCGTTCCATGCAGATACTGCACATATTCGCCTCCTCCAAATCCGCGACCCTGGTCTCCAAGTAACGTAATCGCTCCAAGTCTTTGTCCTTCTCTTTGTCGCTCATTTCCTCCTTCCTTTTCCCCTCCAAAGACACATTCTTTGATTTGTCCTCCGAATTAGCTACCTCTCCCGTTGCCAGTTGACCATCTAAAATAATTATTTGTGTATAAAATATTTATTTCACATGACAAAGCTTTCGCTTGATTTTGAGTAAATTTTTCTTCCACAAAACTTACTGCTATATTTTTATTTTACATTAATGTACGGTAAATATGGCTTTGTCACTTGTGTGTTTATATCTATTAAGTTTGATTTGTAAAAAGTTCCTTATTTTTAATCATTAAAAACTATTGGAATCGTTAGACATTAGTGAGACGTTAACGAGATTATTTTATCTTCTCCGGAATCCACAAATACCTTGTGGTTGGGTTTTGACGACGGTATGGCCGCAACGTGTACAACCAACGAGTGTGACGCTACTGCCAGGATCGATTCGATTCTCTTGCTTCCCGTCCGTTATGATCCCCGAACAATCCTGGCATTCCGCAGCGTCGCCGGAGCCAGGTATATTGTTCTTCGCACCTTGTAACCCTTCTGGTTGCGACATATTATCTATCCGATACGTAAACGGCTCTACGTAACCAGTCGGTGGATTTTCTATTCTGTAAACAAATTTAAATACTCTCATATACATCCGCTAATAGATTCGAAAATCATAAAATTGATTTGACACCACGTTTCACACAAATTTATGTTTTAAAGATGGGATTTGCGGTGCTTTTGAAATAGACGGTTTATTTCACTTACTCTAATTGCGTGCTGTGGCTTTGGTATTTATAAGATCGTAGAAGATCGGCGAAGAAAGCGGCCCGTGGGTCATCTTCCAAGAGATCGAGCGGCGTCTTGTCCTTCTTGTTCTTGACTTGCTCGAGGAGTTTGCAACTTCTGTCCACGCTTACCAAAAAACAAGCTAATGCTAATTCAGTCTTTGTGGCTTGCCTCGCCAGATTCTGCCAGATCTGCCGGGAAGAAAAAATCGTTATTAACCGTTTATTAACCATTCGAGTTTCACACAGCGTGGTCGCGCTGCTGCCGTTCTCTGTCGAAAAATGTCACCGCCTCATCTTAGTAAGCTTAATGGACTGTAATTTGAAAGCTCACCGTTACTTGTCACAACTTGAAGAGACTTTACTTTAATCGAAACTTTCTTTCGTAATGTCGATCGCCCTACTTGGTGCTTTTTGACATGAAACAAAAGAACCGCAATCGCGATGTTCAGAACTTTTCGATATGAAACAGAAGAAGCGCGACTGCACTATTCGGCACTTTTCTTCTACAATTAAGCCCAGTGCACAATAGAGAAAATATTAGGAATAGGAATGAATATTAAAAATATCAGGAGGAGAAATTTGGAATTATTTTACTTCAAACAAGAGAACGGAATGGATTAATTATTCTTAATTCATGATGCGTTAATCCATTCCATTTTTTTGTTTTGAAAAGAAATATAATTCCAATTTCCTATTTCTAATATTTAATATTTATTTCTATTCCTAATATTTTTTTTATTGTGCGTTGGACTTTATCCGTTTTTTACTTATTTATTTTATTTATTATTATATTATTTATTTTATTTATTTATCTCCAATCTGTAAATTTAATTTGCTTGATTTTTTTGACACTGCCACGTTACGATCACTATTTGATTATATATTACTAACGACCTGTTGCCACTCGAATGATCAAAGAGAATCGATATTCGTGTCAAATTATAAAATCTTAGACATCGTACCGCATTTATAAGCGGCGAATCCCGGCTACTTTCGGCAGTCTGATGATTCGGACTTTTGGCTATCGCGATATGAAGCACCGTATCACCGTCCTCGTCCGTGCTTCCAACATCCGCATTATGATGAACTAGCAGCTCGACGAGCGACCAGTGTCCTTGCGAGGTTGCCAGGTGCAACGGTGTTTGCCGCCGATTGTTGCGCAGATCAACCTTAGCGCGGCCGCCGTTCTGCGAAAGGAGAATCGCCGCGACTTCTCTGTGTCCGTTCAAGGCCGCTAGATGCAATGCCGCGAATCCATCTTCCTTTTTCACATCCACCAAGTAACGGGCTCGCGTAACTAGCCTCTTCGTTGCGCTAGGAATTTATCAAAATAAATTAGACACATTTGCTAGGATATACTTGAAGAAAGATTTCTTTAACCTTTGCAGAATTTCGTCAATTTGGAATAAATTTTTCGTCAACGAAAAGTGCGTGAAAGATTATTATTTTTGCCACTATATATTCTAATGTTTACATACTTCTCTGTAACTAAATTTAGCTAAAGTCTATTTAATCAAGGAGTATTTTTATTGTTTATCTGCATCGCGAAAAAAAGGTTTGTAAAAAGTTTTGTAAAAAATTTCTTTGTGCTAAATCTGTCTTATACGTACTGAGCATTGCCTTTGAGTGCTGCGTGGTGTAGAACGTTGAAGCCCCGCTTGTTCCGAAGCGTGAATTCGACCCTGTCGCAAGCGCATAATGCGTCGATCACATCTAGAGCGTCCTTCCCGATCGCGTCATGCAACGCTGTGTCGCCGTACGAGTCTTGCAGATTCACATCGCAATGATGACGTAGCAGTACCCTCACGCACTGCACATGCTGCTTGTTCACCGCCACGTGTAAAGCGCTACATCTGCCATTGTTGACGGCATTAATAACTGCGCCTCGTATCAACAACTGTTCCATGATTTCCGGCTGGTTGCTGTTTAATGAGAAGAACATCAATGCAATTAATATTGTAAAAGTTTAATAACGTCGTAGATCATGATTAAGCTCAAATTGTGTACCCAAATGCTGCGTAATGCAAGGGTGTATCTCCATCTTCGTCAACTGCTCGTAGGGAGGCGCCAGCTTCCAGAAGAATAGTACAAATCTCATCCTGGCCCTGATGCGCAGCCACTTGCAGGCATGTTTTTCTGCCTCCACCAGGAGCCCTCGCGTCCACTTTGCCAGGATACTTTTTGAGGAACTCCTGTACTGCGCTCACACCTGCCTCGCCTCTAGCAGCGTCCCTCAATAGCTTCTCCACCTCGCTGTCAGTGCCATCGGCTACGTCACAAAAATTAATTAAATGGACTTGTGTACGTCATATCACGGAAGATATAATATTTGCAGTATCAATATTTTATTCGTTCCTTTATATATTATATTGTTCATATAACATATAAGTAAAAGTATACCTGAACGATCTCTACTTCTATTCGCATCGTCACGTGCAGCGTCTGTGGCGTTCGTAACCAGAGATACAGGAGCGACACTCAGCGGATTAAACGTCCACGTGTGACCGTCTAACGCAACACGCAAGTCACCATCAGAATATATCTTGATTATTTTCCCGGTTTTTCCCAGTGCCTACGATAAGCATAAATTCAATGACACACGAGTTTATTTTCCTGCACAGCCATATCAAGTATGGAAGTATACATATATATATAAGAAACGAGTGTGTATGATGCCAACTAACATTTTTCATCACATCTATCCATTCGCCGTGGCCACGTTGATACTGTTTGACGACGGTCAGATCACTCTTGACGCGGACGATGTCACCGAGCGAGAAGGCATCCTTAGCGGTGACTTTCGTCAGAGCGCCCGGATGAAAAGTCCATCTGTTATTGCAGCCTTCGTACTGCACGCGAATGTCTCCCTTGTCTGTGATCCGATGCACCGTACCGATCTAAATTTCAAATTAGAGAAGTAGATTATACAGTACGTTAAGTTAATCTAAATACATTAAAAGTGCACTTTGGTCGCAGCAAACATTAACTGAAATTGACTAAAGTTTATTTTTCTCTTTAACTGTTTGAAAGCCGAGATTTAAAGCATCAGTTGAACTTTAAATAACACACACACATTTCTGCTATTTTGCTAAAGATACCTTTCCTATATAATCAGCCATACGTGGATTCCACCCTCCATGACCATCCTGCATCTCCTTTAAAGTGTCGACCTCGATTAGTACTTTCACCTTGTCACTGACATTGAATGTTAGATGGTGTGGACTAGACGTGACATTGGGAACGCCGCTTTTGGTCGGTGTGGAAGCATTTCCATTGTCCGGTACGGTCAAGACCGGATAGCCGAGCAACGGAAGATGCTCCTTATAATAAGTTCCAGAATTGGCCTCCTCCATATAACATAAATCTACGCAACCTTTGTAACCTAATCGATATACGTTGGTACTACCCGTGGACCACGTGACAGTTGCAACAGAGCGACTGCTTTCGTTATCCCATCCACGTATGTCCATGACTCTACCGGTCTTCCCTGAAATATGAAAAAAAAAAAAAATAGAAATCGGAGCAGCGATTATGCAATTATAATTCAAGTTGATTTAGATATATAGTTACCCCGGCCGCCATCCTGATTTCCCCATTCCCAATCCGGTCCGCGAATGACTTTCGCTCCTATGAAAATTCCCTTCAAAGGTATTTTGTTGCAGCCTTTTCTCGGTCCCAGTTGAACTCTAATTAGAAATATAATTACAGTTTGACGTCAAAGTCATCAAATAATAATAAATAACAAGAAAGTTTAAATACCAACCCAACGGAATTAGCTGTTTGAAATCTCTGAAATGTATGAGTTAACTCGTGTAAGTCAGCCATGTAACACTGCGTACAGAGATCGTAGTCAAAGCATTGCGAACACTTCCATCTCATGCCGATAATTCCGTGTCTCTTGCAACCGTCGCAGATAATGTTAGAGTGCTTTACGCCGGCGGCTGCGTTGTCGAACATCAGTAAATCATAAGCTCCTTGGTAACCGATCCTATAATTACTTCTAGCGCCATGATCCCACTGGACAATAACCGTTTTATCTGGAGTCCGATCGGAGGTATTCGGACTGGAAGCTGTATTTCCTGTAGGTGGAGGCTTTCCGATTTCCACTACTGTCCCCGCGTGACCTTCGCCGCCATCCTGATCATCCCATTTCCAGTCCTGGCCGCGAACAACTCTCAAACCAACTTCTAACATCTCCAAGTATATAAAATTCTCCGGCTTCTGACCCTTTAACAAAGCACATTGAGCATTACACACATTGCAATATTCATAAGTAAAGTGAAAATTTACAATTATATTTCTTTTTGGATTTTAATACACTTAAAAAAATTTAATTTCTTTTACTTCATAAAAAAAAGAAAAAATAATATAGTTTTTAACTTCTTGTTGCAAAACTATAGCAATCAGTAAATAATCTAAATAATCAAAATAATCAATTTACAATCAAAACAATATCAACACTTGACTTTTAAAGATACACAAGATAAACTATTGTCACAAACATTGATACATCTGTCAACAATTGTAGAAATAACGTATAATGAAAAGCAAGCTTCAAAGTATATTCTTCAAACTTCAAATTTATATCAAATTAATCTTCATTTGAAGATTAATACAAATACTTAAAAAACCAGGAACTTGTGTGTTCTATCACAGTCTATATGTCATACACACGTTGTTAAAAATATCTAATATATATATTTTGCACGTCTGTTGCATAAACACAACTGCTCTATAATATCCTTCGGAACGAATTAGTTCAACATTTACACAGTATTCACCTAAAACTCAGGTAAATTCGAGTATACTCCAATCCAAACTTTAACCAATCTGTTTACCGAGATCGTACGGTACTGTTCCCGCACCGCAGTTTGTTTCCGTGTGAGTTTCCGGACGGCGGGAGAAACGAGAACGTTTCCGACGTGAATGCGCTCACGTACCTCCGGATGGCCTCGAGTTCGTTCCTACGAGCGGTTCTATGAATCATATGCGGCGGAGCGGCAATGGTGCGGACGATAATCCGCGAGACCGTGCCTGGCGGGCACTGGCGAGACGCGCGCTGTGCAGTTGGAAACCGGCCGTGGGGAAAGGCGACATTACGCAGCATCATCGCCGAGGGATTATGCACGCTCCATCGCCGGGCAAGACGGCGACGACGATGACGATGACGGTGATGATGGATTCTTACGTCCGCGTTGCTAACGATAGTAACCTCATAACTGGGTTCATTAGCGATGGCGCCTCTTTCGTTTCGGGAAGAAGATCGTAACGCCCTCTTAAAGTGAGGGACATTTAAAGCCATAAACACAACGAAACACACACCAAGCAAGTATTTTACTCAGCATTTTACTTTGACCAAAGATAAATCACACCTTTTTTCAGAGGTACAAATCAATATTAAACTAGATATACTTCTCACCTATTTACTCTTTACTTATTATAAAATTTCTTTATATTATTTTTTCTTATATAATATATAAATATATATATATTAAATTAAATAGATAAGAAATACACCCAGTAATTTAATACGTGTGATTTATTTTATATATACATAAATAAATATTGCAAATTATAAATTATATATTACTACACAATTCTTTTGTATGACACAATATATACAAGTGTTTTAAATATCTGAGAAGAGTATTATTCAATCTGCAATTGTACTATTGTAATGTTTATATATTAATAAATAAAAAATTTATATATATATATATAAATAAATAAATTATATCATTTTTTATTTAAAAGCTAACAATACCCTGCTAAACATAAACATTTTAAAGTTACTATGCAGTATTAAAAAATTTCTTTAAATAAATTTTTCTATAATAAATTTTGTATTTGTAACAATAAAAGTACCAAAACAAATTTTAACACTTAAATAATTAACAAGCTATTATTTTGACAAGGTCACATCATTAAAATTTCATTTTTCAGTGAATAATTATTACATATTAAAAATATATAAAACAAATTTAACTTGACGTTACATTTTTAAAATATTTGCGATAAAGATAATGATTAAAAATTATAGCTTATCTGTATACATCGATATTCTGAAGGGTGCACATTTCGTATCAGTCATTATGGGTAAAGGAGTTTGTCCCGCATAATTTGCAATGTTCGCGACAGCACCAGCTTTTAATAATGCTTGCGCTATCACTGTATGATTATTGTCTATTGCATGAAACAAAGGTGTCCGTCCTGATTTTTTATCCTTTAAATCTATATTTCCACCAGCTGATAAAATTGCGTTGACTCCTTCTAAATTACCATGCATACTGCAATAATGTAAAGCTGCAAGACCTTGAAAAACAAAATAAATTTAAAATATGTTAATGACATCAATTGCAATTTGCGAGATTAATTCTACAAATGTAATATTTTATAAGTATTTCATTTTATACATCTCTCTCTTTCAAGAGTGACATATATATATATAATCTTACCTTCTGAGTCTATTAGATCGAGTAATTTAAAATCTGAGATATATTTAATGAGCATTGGCAATAACGGTGATGATTGTTTGCTAGCAATAATTAATGCCGATTCACGTATGCACTTCGGTATCACTGGTTGCGCTCCAGCCTCCAATAACAATTTTACGATTTCGCTGCGTATATCATATTTAATTGCCAATTCTAAACTTGTCTAAAAAATATATAAAATATATAAGATAAAGATTAGATAAAATCCAAAATATATATTAAAAAATAATGATTAGGTAAAATCAAATTTGAGATTAAATAAAAAAAACTTGGACTTACCAATTCGTCTTTAGTTAATATATCGACGCTTTCTTTACAGTACTTAAGTATCATTAGCTGTCTTTGAACAAGATGAATATTATTGCTTATAACAGCGTTATGTATATTTAACATGCCGTTTTGATCATATTGTTTAACAGATTCAAAGTCCTTTTGTAAATGATCTACAAGATTTCTATATTTTTCATTGCTGCCGATAAAGTAGTTTCTATTTTGGTGACATCCAAATTTTCTTCAAAATATTTCCAGAAATTTACATTAAAAATATCTTGTTCAGAAATTTTTGATGTAGAATCAACGTGAGAATATAAATCATTTGTTGACAATAAATTTTGACTATCAGATATATCTTGTAAATTGATTTGATTTATTCTATTAATGTTGTCAATATCTTTGCTTATTAATATAAAAGATTTTGGATCGAGTAAACCAAATACTTCAGTTTGTACTTGCGTATCGCATACAGATTTATGTTGTTCTAGTGAATGTACAGGAATATATCTTTGAATTCCAATTCCACAATCCATTAGAGCTTTCATTGCTAGTTCACGTAATTCATTATCTTTTACACTGTCCATTGCTTTTTGAATAATATCATATTGATTTGATAAGTCCACATGATAGTCTTTCTGATAAGTCTTGTTTTGTAAATTAGATTGTACATTTGTATTGCTAATATCAGCAACATGTTGTATTTCTGAATTACATGTATGATTATCGACTGTGGCATTCAAACAATCTGTAAATATTTTTTGTGAGATTCTTTTAGTTCGCAACTTGTCTCTCTTTGTATCTTGTTTTATTTTTTTTTTATCATCTATAGTCATAGTACTTGCAGATGATACAGCAGCATCACATTCATGCTGTGACAAAACTGCATTCTGATCAACACATTTTTCATTATTGGGTATAACTGTCATAACATTTTGTTGTGTTTTAACTTCGTGCACTTGATTATTTGTGTTATCTAATTTAGATTTAATTTGAAATAAATTATTTTTATTATCTGAGACTTTCTCATTGTAGAACCTCTTTTTGTTGTTGTCTAAATTATCTTGATTTAAATTGTCAATCTTGCGAACATTCTTTAAAGATGTAATTATCTTTCCATCTTTCGTCTTTTTTATAACAGCAATACACTCTTTTCCTGTTTTAAAATGTCCATATTGTTCATTACTAGAATTTATTTCTTGCTTTTTGCAATTTACTAAAAGGAATTGTGATTTATTAACTTCTGCGTGAATCGGTATTTTTGCATCTGTAGAAACTTCACTATTCTTGGGTGTCACTTCTTTAATTTTTAAATAATTGTTTTTATTATTTATCTCACTGTGATTCTGTTCATTGTTATTAGTGATATCATTGTTATCACACACAGAATTTTTTAAATTTATTCCACTTGTAGAAGCTTTATCACTCTCACAATATGTAATAACACTATTACGTAGTTGCTTTTCTTTATCGATCTCAGCAGTACAACTATTTGTCAATATTTCATTTCTTGGCAGATTTACACAATGTTGCGGTGGTGATGTTAGTATGCTTGTCAATATTTTATTTTCTCCAGTTATTACAGTTTTGTGACAAGTAGAATCACTATTTGGTACCAAATTAATTTGTGATATTTTAGGAGTGTTTTGCTTACATACTAATGGTAATTTTTTATTTGATAAAGAAATTATTGGGACTTTTTCGACAGATGATTTAATTATTTTAACTGTTTTTCCTTTTAATGGATTATTAGCCTGCAGTTCCACATTAAATTCCCCTAAATCTCGTCCTTTAGGAGACAATATTCTTAATTTTTGCAATTTATTTACAGTTTCTAACTTGTGTGATTTATTTAAAACTTGGTATTCCCCATTAGAAACTATGTGGCTTCCAAAGTTTGTTAATTTTGGCGGAGAAAGTTTTTCTTTCTTGAATTTCCATTTTGTAGTATCCATTTGTAGTAATTTCCAACTTGTAGTATCCATTTGTTTTATTGCATTAGGCAATTGCTGGGGCACACATTCTTTCAATTGCATGTCGTTCACATTTTCCGAAATACATATTTTCTTTGACGGCGTAGATTCCGCAGAATGGTCCATTCCTCATATGTCGATATAGAATTGCTTATCGTTTGCGTCACACTTTCCGACGTAAGATATCTCAAATACTCAGAGTGGCCTAAATTAAATAAATCGCAACATTTTATAAAGTATCAATATAGTAGTATCAAGTATAATTGTGATACAGAGATATACGTACATAAAATACAATAATGAAATTCGTAATTACTCTGGTGTTGTTCAACACTTCATGTACAGGAATCACCAGGAATCACCGCGCTTTTTTAGTAAAACCGGGTCATCCCCTTTCTCATATGCACAGTGATGCCAATTTGAGTTCGCTGCAGTGATGCAAACTCGAGCCGGCCAGCACCAGGGCTCCGTGGTAGGGGGAAGCATGCACACAAGCGAGAATTGCTTACGTCACACGTACGTGTGCGCACACGTGTGTGCTCGCCGAGCCACACGGACATGTGACGTCAGCAATTTCGCTTGTGTGGGTATCTATAGTACCAGCGAGCTCGAATTGGTATCACTGAACGCATGCATATAGTGCTCCATCGTATACGTAACGTACATTTGGTCAATGCCTTAACACATGAACTTGCACGGGTGTCAAGGCATATCGAGTCGGCGTGTTCCGACTCTACATATCTTTACATCATGACTGATTATGAACGTAGCGGCAATGTTGTTTTGGCTTATGGCCGCAAGGAAGAGCTTCCCGGTGCCACTAGAGACCCTAAAAAGGAGATTCGCCAACTCGTCACGTGACTGTTAGTGGACTCTGATTGGCTGGTGTATGGATCGCACATTTGTGCCCCGTGTGCACCATAAAGCTACACTGAACTACACTATAGGTCTGTTTTTTATAGCTGAACTGGCTGCACTAGTTCAGAGTTTATCTTTCTTCTTCCAATGTGGAGGGAAAAAGATAAACTCTGAACTAGTGCAGCCAGTTCAGCTATAAAAAACAGATCTATAGTGTAGTTCAGTGTAGCTTTATGGTGCACACGGGGCACAAATGTGCGATCCATACACCAGCCAATCAGAGTCCACTAACAGTCACGTGACGAGTTGGCGAGTCTCTCTTTTTAGGGTCTCTAGGTGCCACTACACATCTACTACTACTACTACTTGTTTTGGCTGTTTCAAAGCAACTAGAGCAATTAACAAGTAAAGGTTAATATTTATAATATTTATATTTATATCAATATTTATTAATGGTGGAAAACAAGTTATATATATGCTAAATGATGAAGAAAAGTGTAATTATTTATCAAAATAAGAGGAACTTATATAAAGCAATTAACAGATTTGAAAGTATTAGCATGATAATAAGAAAAAAATAAGTAATATTTTGATTTAATAATATTATCTGTGATTTATTTAAACGAATATTTTTACTTACATGAGAAGTTTCTAAATTTTCTAAACATCTAGCATAAAGGCGCCATATTGATTTACATAGCTTGCTCATTGGTCGAGACGGTCTTATGCTATGCATATGCAGTTATGTCATTTTGTGTGTGATGGCCTTTAGTGTGACTAGGTGTACATGCGATACATGCGCGCATATGCGCGTTTCGGAACGCAGCCATTGACATGTACACGTGGCAGAAATCAGTATGACGGCCAATCAGCTTCTTGCTTTTCTGGAATTAACGGAAAATTATTGTCAGCCGCGTCGACTTCCGCCATGCGCAACGCATCAACGCGTCTTATGTGCAGAAGCCCTAAGCTTGGCATAAACGTGCGAGATGACGAAGAGAGCATTTAGATTATTTTGTCTCTTTTCTTCGCAGGTTTATGGAGGATTTACACTACGTACGATATCCAATAATAGAGCTTGTTTTCTAGAAATTTTAGCTAGATATTTTATCGTCTAGAAAACAAGCTTTATTATTGGATATCGTACGTCGTACGTCGGACATCGGACGCAGTGTAAATCCTCTATTATACCTGCATCAGACTATGCAATTGTTGCAACACTCTAGTAAACTAACAATGTACCATACACACAGCATTTCTAGTAATTTACTAGATCGCTTGTGAACTGCTGTAACAAGGTACATAGTCTGATAAAGGCTTAATAAATGTAGCAAATGAATATACAATATGAACAAACCTCAAGATTTGCAATCTATTGATAAAAATAAAAAAATCTGAAGAAAGAAAATCTAGAAGATTTTAAATATTAAATTATAAAATACACAAATATATTGTTAACATTTTTTTCTTCTATTTTAATAATATACTATGTAATTTAATTTCAGCATACATTTCACACATGGCAGCATATTTACAATCTCACTTGTAATACTTATTCTAATTTGTAATGCTGGTTCTAAGATAACAAATTTGTAATTGCAATCTAATCATATATTAGTGAATTTTTGTACCAACATATTAAATAATTGTGACTGATAGAATATATGATATTTTCACATTTCATATTTCGATCACATCAGTCTTATATTTACAAATATTCATTAGAATGCAGAGATTTCGATTTATGACTATTTATATCAGACAATTTAGTTTAGCGTATAAATTATTTATATTAAGCGCCCATGTCAAATCGTATTTAGCAAGTCCTGGGTTTGGTATTTCAATTATCATACATAAATATGCGCAACGTGTATATATATATATATACTTACAGTCCTGAATATATCAATTTCTCAAGTATAGAATCATCCGATTATTCAGCAACGATAATTCAATCGCTCTGTATGCACAATCTGATGCTTAATATACATCACGTTCATTTCTCTTTATTTAATGCTTGGATAAATTCTTCTAATTTTTCTTGAATTTGTCTAACTCGTTCTGAAAATAAAAGCAAAACGTGATTTAGTAATATTAAAATACTTTTCTCCATTTTATAATAACTATTTATTTACTTTTCATTAATTACTATAAGCAATATATTTTAAAATCAATTCTAAGATTAACTTTTATAAATTATCTATAATTGAATTAAAAAGATAATTAGCAATAAATATACCATATACTGCAATACATACTTAGTTCCTCAGCTAATGTGACTCGTCTGCCTGTAAGTAATTTTGCCTTGATTTCGCTATCTTGACTATAGTCCTCGAGAACTTCCTTAATTTCTTTGTCTAATCTTCGAGCTTCTCTGTTCATAATTTGCTGCCGCAGCGCATTTGCAGTGACTTTCAGCATTTGTTGTATTCGCCAGAAAAGCACCACATCGTTACATTCCATCTGAAAAATATATTATAGTAAATCGAACAATTACGTGAATATATTGCGTAAATATATAACTTTTTATTCTTTTTCACATACTTCATTTTCGTGCCCTGTGTGATATAGATAATATCCTTTCCTACAATCGTACACTCTCGCTAAACTCTGTTGCAAGAAAAATCTCCTGTATACAGGATGCCATGTTTCTCGAATAAATTCATTATCGATTTCTAATCCATTCCGTTGTAAATTTTTCCTAACAGCCGTAAGTTCATCGTGCGTCAGAGTTGGTGCGTGTTTCTGCAATCAAAAATATAACATGAATACATAAAAAGAAGTGTTATTGTAATATTCAGCCGGAATTATCTGTACATAAGTACCTTGTCGGCGTAAAGAATTTTATCTAATTCATTCTTAACCGCTGTACGTTTCTGTTGTTCCTCAGTTTGATTTTGCCAATAGAGCCACCGATCTTTGCGATTAGGACCCAGCATATCACGCAGAATTTGTTCTGTACTTTGCAGTTTGTCCTTAACGGATGTTTCTAGAAATCGAACTGCCTGATCCCATTCACGTTTGTCGTTTACACTTCTGTCTTCCAAAATGTTAAGTTGAATAACACGCAGCATTTCCGATGCCTGCAGAAAAATATGCTTTTTAATATGTAATTTATCAAGTTATCAATTTATGAATAATTTATTGTAACGTCTTGCAAGGATAAAAAATACTACTTGTTAAATTACTCTTATTTACCTTCTCTTCCCACGAGTGACGCCGCATTGCTTCGTTCACAACAGCGTTCTTGAGATTGTCGAAGATATCATCATGATCCGGGCTGAGCCGAGCTTGCGCCATGAAATTCTGGAATTCCTGTTGTAAACATTCCCATCCGCTCTCGACACTACGCGCAGGTAGTTGCTGTTCAGCCCAATTCCTAAGCTTGATGTCGACAGTGGTGTTGAATGTATCTGTAACACGAGAATGTTACCTATATAAAATTTCTCGTTCATTCAACCAGAAAGAATACAGTTTATTAATATACACTATACTTGGATTTCCACTTTGAGCAGCAGGCAGATAAATATTTTCGAAAACATGCATGCTGACTTTTTCCCAATTTCGAGTCATCAACACTTCTTCCCAGTGCCGCGGCGACACTTGCGACAAGTTGACGATCTCGTCTAAAATTTCACCTCGTGCTTTTTCGAACAGCTCGTCTCTGTCTAATTCTCTTAACCTAAATATATAGATTATGAAATAAATAAAATTTAAAAAATATGAAAAAACCCAAAATACTTGTCATATAATTTATATATTATTTACCTTGGGAAATTATTCTTCCATTCTGTTTCCAAATTAAATCTCGTAGCCTTAAATGCATCTGCTTGCTGCTCCACTGTTTCACGGACCATTTTCCAAAAGCATTCGGCAACTGCCAAGCTCAAGTTTTTGGTAGTCACTTGACCCGACATAGCTAAACCATCTCTGAAAAATATAATAAACAAAAATTTATTAATTATTGCATTATTAATGCTATTATCCTTTTAAACATGCTTCTAATACAAAATTTACTTGAAGAGTTTTGAATTCCTGAAAAACTTTTCTTCGTAATCTTTGATCGTTTGTATGCTGTCATCTTGCCTGCCACGACCGGTAACTACGGCGAAATAGCCTAATGCTTTCATCGGAAACAATTTACCGGATAAAATTTTACGCAATCTGTCAGGATTAGTTAAATTTTCTTCCGCCATGTCAACCTGCAAAATAAACAATTGCAATTAATATCTGCATTCACTGAAAGTTATGTCTAACGTAAAAAAATCTTCCATACCTTTGTCAAAACAAAGATTGTTCTTTTCCCCGATGGATCCATTTGAGCTACAAGATCGGTCACGTTACTCCTCTCTGCGTCGACGGAGCCGTCTTGTATGCAAAGAATGATCGCGTTAGGATTGCTCATATACTGCTGACTCATTTGTTTAATCGCCTCACGAGTGTCTTCCGCCATATCAACAGTTACTGTCTATATTGAACCAATTCAACATTTTGTAAGCAAAGTTACAGCATTTTCTAGTACAAAGTATGCATATACATACACTAATAATACCAGGTAGATCGACTAGAACCATACGTTGAAGACCCGGTCCCTTCACAGTCATCGAAATGACATCCGGACTGACTGTCTTTCCATTCTTAACGCTATTTTTCATTCTCAATTCCACCTCCCGTCTGAGCTCGGCTAATTCTGATTCTTTAGTTAGGTCGAATTCTCTAGAGCTATCTTTGAACTGTGCTATGTGATATGGACCTTCGCTTAGGGTGACTTTGACTGGTGCTCTCGTCATCATTTCACCTCCGCCTCTAACGTACGGAAAATAATACTGAATATTATTTATATCTTTTCACGATTACATTAATGAAATAAAAAATGTACCTTGGGAATATCCTTGCTTGAGCAATCATTTCCAGCACGGAGGTTTTACCAGAACTTTGGTCACCGACGACTACTACTCTAGGTAGATGATCAGCGGTAGAATAAGCACTATCATAATCATTCAGCTCATCCAAGACATCGCTGTACATGTCAATTAATGATTTCTACAAAAACGAGAACAATGTAAGAAATGGAATTGAGACAAAATACATATTTGTTACAACAATACGTCGATAAATTACTTTGATCTTTTTGTTGGTAAACTTCTGATTTCCTCGTAAGAGTATTTGTTTGCGTAACTCTTTGTTTTCTCTTTCCAATCTTTCAATTTCACGTTGATACTTCAGCTGCATCTGCATCAACTCGTCTTGCATGGCATTCATTCTCTGTTGCGAAGATTCTTTAATGATAAAAAAAATTATAACAATATCGAATAATTTTTGAGAGAGGAGACGCTATACATCTATAATATGTACGTACGAGCTTTCTTACGTTCCTCCTCGGTATTACTATCGCTAGCCATTGGGCGTGCAAAGGCAATCATATTTTTCGACAACTGATTTGTTTCTGCTTAAAAATAATGAATATCATGTATCTAGTTCGTAATAATGGTTAATTTGTTTTGTAAATGCAAGAAAGCTAGTAACTAGTTGACTGGTCAACTAATGTAAAAAAATTATTAAAGTTATATATGATTTTATGAGTATAATTAAAATTGAATAAAAAAAAAATATAATGCTGCCATAAATAAAATATATACAAGCCAGTGCACGAATAAAATAAAAGCAATGATTAATGGTTCTGTCCCATTCAGTATTTAAAAGTAAAATAATGTGTATGTGACCACATTTTATTATATATATTACAATTATATTGCATAAATATATAAATGGCTTATTCATTCTTTGTAGCATCAAAAAATACATAATCAAATTTTTCCTTCCAGCTAGTAAATTAGACACAAAATGCTGAATGGACAGAAAATGTATGTAAAATAATTTAGAACTTTTTACACACCTGAGTAAGCTTGTTTAGCTACCATCGAAATTGTATCAAATGCACCTGAACAGAACAGACCACAATAAATTTATGATATTTATGTATGTCAAATAATGCCTTGCAATAATAAATTATGTAATTTACATGATATGTATGTTGTAAAAAAATATAAATTTCAGTAGATATTGTATATTGTTTTAAGGCTAAAAATAATAAGCAAACATAGATTGATAGCAACACTTACAAATACTTTATCATGCAAATTTTTATATATGAACAATAGATTATATGTAAAAAAATTGTAGCCAGTGAAGAATAGCAATGATATTATCAGCCTATATTTTGTAATAATTAGGATTATTTGTAGATAGGAAAACGTCAGGCAAATAGAGGAACATGTAATAATAAAGGAAGGGATCACAATATAGGATGCATAAGTGATTATGAAGCAATATGTGTGATATAGAAATATAAAAAGATATTTAAAAAAAAAAACACCTCACTCACTCTGTATTGAATTACTATCTTGGTAGTCTTTCTGTCGATTTTCTGCTGCTTTAATAGCATCATCCAGTCTTTGATCAAACCATACTCTGTATTCACGATATTTAGATAGCCCAAATTCCTTTATACGAGGATCTGTATTCACCCATTTTTTTACATTGCAAATTATAATGCACTTTGCTTTGCCTCACGTTTTCACAAGTATAAAAAACTATATGTAATAAGCTTACCAATTTCAATTTTATCAGCCATACTATCCTTCACTGTCATAAGAGATTCACGAAAATCTTGCCATTGTTTTTCATTGGGCATCATGTTTTGTAGCCACCCCAAATCTGGTAACGCTTCTTTCCACTGTTCATATTTCTGTAACATAAATAAGAATGTTACAAAAGTGTCATACAGTTTCACACATATAATTATATTTAATAAATTAATAAGAGATAATTTAAAAAAAATGCACAAAAGAAAACATCAAGCTAATAATTTTACCTTCTGCAAAGTAACACCACCACCAAGTGCACCTCCTAAGAGAAGATATCGTATTTTTAAAGCTCCTCTTAAAATCCTTGCTACCACCATAGCATATCCACGATGCGGATTTGCAAAATATCGTGGCTGCGGTGTTGCTAGCAATGGCCTACAATATCTACTGAATTTTCCAGACATTAGCTTGCGTGTACTAATGATTGTTATTGGATGCTTGGAGGTTTTGGAAACCAGCAAAATGCCATGGCTAAAAGAAAAAAAAACATGTTAATACAATAAAAGGAAATCATAAATAATTACAACAATTAAAATTATGTAATTTATCAAAATTAAAATAAAACATAAAGAATACAGGGATAACCTCACTGTCGGATCACATGTATGTAAAATTATATACACATTGTATATCTGTTTTAAAAAATTATTTTACATAATATATAAACTTAATAAATAGTAAATATATTAATTCATTAAATTTTATTGAAAATCACATTAAACTCTCACCCGAATTTGCCACATATGATTTGCTTCATTTTCTTGATTTTCTGCAGTGACTATGCTCGTTATTCGTGATCAATAAATGATTCTTATGACTGAATGAAAAATATAAGTTTACAAGCGTGTATTATAAAATAAACGTAAATTAAAAAATCAAAAGCTTAAAACATCTACAAAAATCAATAATTTTGAAATTCTATTCATCTTGATCCATGCATTTAACTCAATTTCTCGAAAGATTGAACCGCATTGAGCGAAGTACAAGGTACAGGTTAGAAGTAACTTCTAGGGCCCGTTCTATCAATGCTCCAATATCCTCCAATCTATAGTATTACGTTACGTATACTATAGATTGGAGCATGTGAGGCATGCGACTCGACAAACCCTATTGTAGAATGACCTTAAGAATCGACAGAAAGTAGCACCTCTGCCGGAATAGATATAAAACACGGAATCGTAATTTTTTTCTTTTTTCTTCAATCTCGGTTTTTTAACAGAAATATGTAATTTTTTACAATCAGTTTTTAATTACTACGCATATAAAAATATTAATATAAAATTAAAAAATTAATTATTACAAAAGATTTGACATTTTGTCACGCTATGTCGTTTAAAAACTAACTTTGATTTAACTTCAATAGCATTTTCTACTAAAATTTGCTAGCGTCATTTTCTTTTTTCCTAAAAGTTTTCATTCGGATAGATGTTTTAGGAAAGTATCATATATCATAAAAATTACAATTTAAAAAATTCCAAGTTTTGAGATTTCTTTTTTTATGAAAAACAATAAAATGTATCGAATAAAAAACGGATCAAGTGTATTGTTGAATAATTTTATTTTCTTTGCAATCCTTATATTACAAAACATACTTTTCCAGACACATTGAAAATATGCTCTATTTACATCGGATCGTCGTCTAGTTTTTTGTGCTAGAGATTTTTTTAAATCTTTACAAGTATAATATTAATAATTTGCATAATTACTAATTTGCATAGGCTTTCGTATAATATATGATTATGGCAGTACATTTACATTAAAGTCTATAATCGTTTGTTTCTTTCATTTTCATTTTCTGTCATTTGCGTATAACATATATATATATATATATATATATATATATATACGTTTTCTCGTAGTATATGAAATCTACATACTTATCTCCTATGTGCACAAGGCGAGTACGAAAAAAGAACAATAATGTTTTAAACGTTAACAAGCATTTATTTCTTTTTGAATACGCGCAGTCTCGCGTGCTGGTCACGATCAAGCTTGAGATCTATAAAATTCGTAAAAACAATGTGCGAAAACAAAAAAAAAATTCGCTTGTTTTATTCGTCACAAGTATTTAAGTTTTCCGGACATAGTTTAGTCCTTGAAATTTTTGCATTTTTTTATTCCATTCTGAGATATGTAAGAATACGAATATGCAAGAATACGAAGAAACATGTTGTACGGATCACGAAAAGCTGACTGAAGCACTAAACTCGATTGGACCCGGGTTTACGTTGTCCTTTCCTAAATAAGCGGCTGTGACTGATTCATCCTTTTTCTCCCTCCGTTATGGGAGATTTTTCTACGTACAACTAAATGTTACAAATGTCCTAGTATTGTCTAAGGGTGCCCTCTTCACTCTTCGCTACTTCTCACATTCAGTCTATATCGCGTATTTGTGGTATTTATAAGATCTCGAATTTTATATATATATATATATATATATATTTATATATATATATATTTATACTCTTAGTGCGACAAGAGAATATTAATCTCTAATCTTTATTCTAATGCCAAGCAACTATGTACATTTTACATCTTTTTCTTCGCTTCTTTACACCTGAATCAAACCTTTACACTTTTGCCTTCTATTCGCTCATTACGGTCAATTCATCACGGTCAAAGAAAAGAAGAAAAAGAGAAGAAGATCGAACACAACAAATAACTTCTGATAGACAACAGAAGATAGAAATCGCCGCAAGCGATTGCCATTCTCACGTAGATCGTACTTGTCCACTATTATCTATTTAGCCGAACTGTCATGAATAATCATCACGAAAGATATAAAACGTAACTTTATCGAAGAGAAAAGTAGAGACAAATCATTTTGGTTTGCATCTTCGCCTCCACAATTTATGTTCCCGGAAAAACGAGACGTAATCGTCATTTGTGCGCAATCGTGTTTCAGATTTAATCGTGAAACACGTATCAAGAGGTACTGTTCCGATGTTTCTTACTCTTCGACTTGCCAGACTCGAATTCATCTTCGCTCCTACGTCGCTTCTCCTTCAATTGCTTCTCCATGGCTAGCATTGTTATCATTCGCTTGTGGGAATCGCCCACTATCCATCCGTGCTGTTCCTGTCGGTCGTCTTCCTCTTCCTCGGGCGCCGGCGCTGGTTCCGGCACCTCCTCCTCGTCGCTCGAACTGGACCAATAATACAGCTGGAGGGCGGCGGTGCGTTTTCGCCGGCCGATCGCGACCCCGACGCCTTCTTCGACTTTGTTCCACGACTTGGTGGTCTTCAACTCCTCATCGTCGGAGTCGCGCTTTCCGCTGGATGATCTGCGCTCTTTTGAGTCCTTGTTGCTCGTGGTTGATTTTTTAAGTCTTTCTGCGGTTGGTTCTTTGCTCTTCTTGCTCGTTGGTATCTTTCCGTTCTCGGGTTTCGAAACTTTCTTTGGTCGTGCCGGCGATTTTGAGAGCTTTTTTCGTTTCGATGGATTTAACAGATGGCTATTGTTCTCCATAGTGTTCTCTGTAAGTGGAAAATCTTGCTCTGATTTGTGATTGTCTTCTGAGACGTCGAATAAAGAGTGATCGATGTTTTCCGCGTTCTCCTCGGCACTCTCGTCGTCATATTTCTTCTGCTTTTCTTTCGTCTGATGTTTCTTTTTCTGCATCGTCGGCCCGGAAGCGATTTTAGTTTCCACCACATCGGCATTAAGCGCGACATCGTCCACATATTGCATCTCTTTTCTCTTGCCAACTTCTCGTAGGATTTCTTCCTCGATTGCTTTCTGCTCCTTGGCGATCATTTGCTCGTGCTTCTTCTCGAGGTACCTTTCCTTTTTCTTTTCCTTCGACTCCCTCTTCTTGCGCGGTTTGTCATAATCGCCACCTCTTCTGCTGTTATCTCTTACGTACGACTCCTCGTCCGAGCTGCTTATTTCCGCCAGTAACCCTTGCTTGCCTATCGCGCACTTCCTCTGTCTTCTAGTCGACTGCAAATCCATAAGTATTCTCTCCTGCTCCTCTCGTAATTTGTCTAATTGCTGTTGTTTTCTTTTCTTCGACTCCTGCACTTTCCTGCTGAGGAACACGTGAAGAGGCAGATTGTTGTCGGATTCCTTCTGTGGTTTCTCGTTGCTGGACAGCTTCTCGGGCAAGGCAGGAATATCGTCGTCCAGCTCCTCCTTCTCATCTCGCATTTCCGGGCTCAGACGCTTACTCTCTTCATTAACGATCCCATCGTTAGAAACTTCATTCACTGCTTCCGTAGCGCCGTTGACAATATTATTTTCTTCAACTTCCGCCCGTGCGTTTTTAGATTTTGAATTGAGATCTTCGTGTTGATCCAAAAGATCCAACGCTTCTTCCAAGGGGATTAATTCGTTTTCCGGCGTGTAATCGTCTTTCGCAATCGTAGGAGTAGTTTCTTCTTGCAAAGACGCGCTTTTATCCAGTTTCTCGATTCCATTCTTCGGCTTCTCGGTCGTCTCTTCATTCCCCTCCATCTCTGTTTCTGTGTCTGAACTGTCTTCCCTGTACAGATCGTCCAGCTCGAACGTTCTCTCGTATTGATTCTCCGCGTCGTCATCACTGTTTCTTACCTCGTCGGTCGCCTTCCTCTCGTCAATCACCAACGAATGGTCCGACATTTCCGATTCCGATTTTGCGGCATCGTCCTTCTTCATAGCGTCTTCCTGCAATTGAACCTGCCAATCATCCGCAACTTGGTCCTCATGCTCGAATTCGGATTTGTCGGCTATGCGTTGATCATGATCCGCCTCATTGATACCAACATCAAGCGATTTCTTCGCCTTTTTCTTCGGACGCTGTTCGTTCGCGATCTCGTAATCGACGTCGTCTCGTTCGTACTCGCTCTCAGACGACGTCGACAACTCGGCGAAGAGATTCTGCTTGCCCTTCGAGCACGCGCGCTGACTCTTTGAAATACCGACGCCGACGTCCTCCGCCTTCGCGGCCGTCCTGAACTCGTCCGAGCTGTCGTTTTCATACCACGCGTTTCTCGCCCGTTTTTTCGGACTTTTACCTCGTTTCTTCAGCTTGGTGGACTGCCTGGCGCTCTGTTCTGTCGGTCGTTTCAAGCGCTGTTGTTTCCTTTCCACAAATTCGTCCATCGGCCCGGTGATCGAGCTCGATATTTGCTGCTGTTGTTGCTCCTCGCTCTGGAAGGACTTCAGCGCGCCCTTTGTCTTCGGCGCAAACTTCTCCAGTTCCTGAAACTTGCGGTCGATTACGGCATCTTCTAATTTAGCGTCCGCAACATAATTCATTTTCCCATTTTCTAAAGCAACGTCTAGATCCTCGTCGCTGTTTTTTATCCTTGACCAATTGGCGGCCTCGTAATTCTTGTCGACCTGGCTCCTGTAAGACAAAACGCTGCCGAGCGTGGGTGCCGTTTGGCTCTCCTCCTCGTCGAACTCGTACACGTCCTTTATCATTACACGTTCCGATTCCGCTTTTCGGTCGAGAGAGTCGCGGCGTTTCTTCTTTTCCATTAGACCACCACTGTGCTCGCTTCTGCGAATCAACGGAAACTCCTGCTGCTGCTGTTTCCTACTCTTCTTCGGCTTGCGTTGTTTCTGCGCGTTCAACTCCACGAGCGCAGCCTTCGAGCGCTCCTGATCTTTCCTGTCGCTTATTTCCTTCTTGCGCTCGAACAACTCTTTGATGGGATTCCTCGCCTTCTTCGTCGACGAGTGCTTCGGCGTCACCGTCGAATCCTTTGTCGGCCTCTTCGGCGAGTCCGCCGGGGTGTCTTTGGCGGCCGCCGCCACCGCGGCTGCGGCTGCCACCGCAACCGCAGCCGCGACCATCTTCACCGATTGATGATTCTTGCCGCTGCTGGCGGTGTCCTCCGGCAACGTGGAGGTCGGAGCTCGTGCACAAGCCAATTCTGCCAGCAGCTTCATCGGGGCGGAACCACTACGGAATCAAATTGGTTTATGACAATTTTATATGTTGATATGCGAGATGATTCATTCATCGATACATGATAATGAGATTATTAAAATTATATGAGATGTGGCTAATTGCATGGAAAAAAAATGATCACATAGATGACTGTAATCATCCATTAAAAGCTTTTGCATTTTAAATGGCTCGTTACCAAGTTTCAATTGTTGCGCGCGGGTAACGGAGAAAATAAACAAGAAATATTTGTCAACAGCATATTGACAAATAATGCAAAATTAAAAAAAAGCTTTCGCAAAGTTTTTAATGGAACAATAAATTAATAATAACTTGGTAATGATAATATTTTTTTCAATAGCAATGAATGTCTATCCGAACAATTCTTGTAGAGCTCAAAAATGTAACATAAATAAAATATCGTTAAAAATTGCGTTACTGTGATAACATTAATCTTCAATCTGCTTTTGAAATTTTTACAGATATTTACTTTTGATTAAAACATTTTTTTTTCAAACAAATGTATTCTTCGAAAACAAACATGTTTGCATGTGCTGATAAACGGCTTAATCGCACAATAATGAATCGTTATGTATAACGAGGTGCTATACTATGTGCAGAGTTCTATACTGCAAAGGTGCTATACATCGGTGATGTTGCGGGAGAAATCGCTCATAGGGTGGAGTGAACGAGAACGGATCAATACACAACGCGAACGAATGGGCATCGTTCGACCAGAGACGGTTTCTCGGTCGTTCTTGGTAAAACCAAGCTTTGACACGCTCGAATAATTCCAACCCGAATGGAAAAAAGAGTATCAACAACGTTCAACCGGGATATCACGGGCGCGTTTTACGTAACGTCGTTCGACAGGCTTCGATTTTAGTTCCCGGCAAACCGTATCATCGACGCAACAATTGGGAATAATGCGCCCCGATCATGGGAATTATTTCTCCCAAAGAAAGAAAAAAACTGTTTATTTACACATACCAATTACGCGCTACGCCTAATTTGGCATAATCGAACAATCGAATGAAAACGTATGGTCGTGCGGACGGATAAACGAGAGATCAACAGGTGTTAAACCGGCGCAAAGCTGAAAAATGCGCTTTGATACGTGATCCGTTTTGCACGAAATATGATGAAATATTTTTAATCACCCAAGTCGACATATTTCGTGAATATGTTTGAATATGTATTTTACTGATCCGAACAAATTTTCGTCCCTTTAGAATAATTTTTTATACAAACAAATTAAAATGCTAGCACCTGTACGTAATATACACATGTATAACCGAAATAGATATAAAGCATCGTGCACATCTCGTGAACAAAGAAAAATTAATTAAATCCAAATTTTAGGTACCAAAATCTTTTAAACGCTAAATCCTGTAAATACTAATTTTATGGCCAAGAAGATCACGTAGATCATTAATAAAGTATTTATAAATTTGTGAACACGTCAGATTTTCCTCAAGTTCGAAAACTATATCAAAAATTATATCAAACTGTAAAGCTCATGATCACATTAATACATATTTATTTGCAATTTTTGCAATTATACCCGGAGGATATATTATATAGCTACAATAAAAAACATTTACGATACTATTAAACGTAATGTGTGTACTTAAACATAAAGAGACGTACTTATGATCGTGTTTGCCGTTGCTGTGCAACAAGTTGGACAGCGCCTTGTCTAGCAGACCGCCTAGAGTCGAATTCATTTTGTTTTTGAGTCCCGGTGAAGATTCCTGCTCCCTATTCGACGCGATTGAGGCAGACAGCTGTTCGTGCTCGTGCATACTCGAGGAATACGAATTTCCGACGCTGTCTCGCTTGTCATCATCAGGATGATTCTGCTCGTCGTCGTTGGTCTTCTGGCCGAACGTGCTGGCTATCAGATTCTCACTCTCTCGCATGCGCTGCTGAATCTTGTCTCGCAATTTGTTGTTATGTTCGAAAGCCACGTCCAAACTATCCTCGTAGCCCAAATTGTCGACGCGCGACGCGTCCGGGCTGGCTGATCTGCTCGATCGCTCGCTGCCGCGCGTTCGATAGCTTCTATCGTGACTGTTGTACATCTCCTCGCCAAGTAACTGAAATTTTCAAGAAGTATGTAGAGATCTGTAATATTATGTATTATATTTTTTAAAATAAATGTAATTATAGAAAAAAGACAAGAAAAAAAATAGAAACAATTTAATTAATTAATTAATTTTTTAGACTATCTTATAAATATGTATTTTTCTAAAAAATAACAACTAAAAAAATAAAATTATTCTGGTTTTAAAAATAGGTCTCTTAATTGTAAAAAAATATTGTAATATGTTACGATAATATAATATAATATTCTATTTTTGATATTAAAAGATTAATATAAGATTTCTGAGAAAATATATAAAATATATTTATGATCGATAAATTTTAACAAAGCATATGTAGCTTAATTTGTAAAATTTAATATTTATCTTGTCAGTGCCAAGCTATTTATAATAATCGCCTTTTAATGATTTCATGAAACCTTAAATAAGCAGTTAGAATTTTGAGAAGATAATATTATGATTTATTATTAGATTCAACACTGACAGATTTATCTTCGTTTCGTTATTATTTTAATTGGCTTATATCACATTAATAAAACAGCTCAACATAAATAACAGTGCATTTATTTATGCACGTATCGGAGAATTTCTGAAATACAAAAATAGATGATACAAAAAATAAATAGAAATTTTATACTCAATGATATATTTATAAAAATATATATTCAAAGAGAAAGTTCTCGAAATACTCACTTGATTGACCGACTCTAAAAGACTACCAAGGCTGTTTTGGCTTTCCACATCTCTCCATCGGTCTCTATTAGCTCTGAATGCCTGCGGTTGTTCGTCTCGTCTGTGATAGGACTCCGTGTGATCGAGCTTAATCTTCTTCGCGCCTCTCAGCTCGTTCTCGCTAGTGGCCTTCAATCTTGAGCAGCACTCGACGAAGAGCTCCTCGTCGAAGTTCAGGATCTTGCCTTGTCGCGGCTCCGTCGTCGACTCAATCTCCCTCGGGACGTCTAATGCGTTATCCTCGATTGCGTCCGTGGGCGCTATCGTCACCACGTCCGATCTGTGACCCAGCGACGGCGATCTAATGACGATCTTCTCCCCAGAAAACTCGTTGGGATTTGCTTTCTTGGAATTATCCTCATTCGTCATGTGTTCTCCCTCTTCTTCGTCGTCTTCCTCCTCGTTATTGGAGTTGCTCTCTATCGAGCTGTCAGGAGTCTCGCGGGCGTAGAACGGCGACATTCTTTGTCGCGCAATATCGTCCTCCTCGTCTTCGTCGTCGTCATCGGACTCTCGGATCTTTTGAGAGCTTCCGTCGAGATCGGCTAATTGATCCTTCATCATTGGCTCTTCGCCCGCCAAACTGCTGCAACTACGTGACGACTCTTCATCTTTCTGTCTGATATCCTTCTCGATCGTCTGATTCTCAGCGAGATCCTTCCGATCAAACTCCAAGTTCCTCGCCGAGCGCTTCCAGTCCTCATTGGTGCTTCCCTTCTTGCTCTTTTTCGAACTTATCGGCTGATGATCTAAGTCTGAAAGCAAGTTATTCCGATCTTGATCCAAATGTTTGGAAACAGCCGAATCTCCGTAAACGAGGGGCTCGTAAATGCCCGAATCTTTGATCGTGTTCTTCGACCGGTTTCTCGATTCGCTCTTCGTTTTCTTATCTCTCGTAGATACTGGCGGCTCGTTATAGGAATCTCTCGAAATTCCCTCGTCTGTTTTTGTCTGACTAATTCTGCTCGGGCTGAAATCCTGCCTCTTGCGTCCACTGACGTCCTTTCTGGACTTCCCGCGTCTGTTGTTCGCTCGAGCACGCTCTTGATTTTCCAAACTAGACTTTTCCCAGATGTCGTTGTCCTTCTGTTTCGAATTATTCGGGCAATCCACATCCGCACGGTCGTAAAATTCATTCTCTTTCTCCTTGGAAATATCACGCATCTCATCGAGATCTTCGTTGTCGGAAAGGCACGATGAAGTCTCGTTGTCGAAAGCTCGCCAGATCCTCTCGCCGGCTCTGGTCTTGCTCTCCCGTCGTCTGTACTTGAATACGTTGAATTGCGACGAAGAATGCTCGTTCCTCGTGTTAGTGTCCTGCTTTTTACGACTGGAATTATTTTTCGACTTACCATGCGCGTCTTCGCCGACTCGAAGATTCTCCCAGTTTTCCAAGGTCAAATTTCTATCCTTTTTATTAATTGTTTGCCCTTCGTTCCATTCTTCTTCATGGTATTTTTCCGATTCCTCGATTTTGTCGTTCAAATCGTCATCGAATTGATTGTTCTGTTTAACATCTTCGATTTCGTCCGAAACGATCGGCGATTCGTCGTCGAAGGTCCTCAGAATCCTCTCGTCTGCTCTGATCTTGCTTTCTCTGTATCTTCGCTTTGTCGGATTACTAATGAGCGACTCGACATGATTCTCGGACGTTAGATCTTGATCTCTTTCGCGCTTCTTCCGGCTCTTCGACTTCACCTCGGCACCGCCGCTCTTGTCCTTTCCCTTCTTCCTGGGAGATCGCTCGACGTCCTTCTCCGAATGGCGCTTCTTATCTTTCTTGTGTTCGCTCTCGGCGATTTTCGCCAGTCCACGCAGACTGGATACATCTGAATCGTCTTCCGATCGTGACACCCAGTCGTTCAGCACTTCTTTCACTTTGTCCGCTTTCTCGCCGCCAAACACTCGGCCGAACACGCTCTTCACGATCTTGCTCTTGTTCGAAGAGGCGGACTCGATTCTATCGTCCTCGTTCTCGCTCTCGCTCGATAGTTCGGCGATTTTCGACGTCGTGATTCTTTTTCTTCTACCTTTCGAACCCTTTGATCTTCTTCGATCAGTTCCTCGCTCTTTACTCACCGAACTTTTGGATTTCTTGTTAGAGGATTCCAATTGAGTTATCTTCTCATCGCGAATGATATTATCGTCTGTATCTGTCGTCCTTTGCGGTAGCGGCTCGTGAGAATTCTCGATGGGGATGATTTTATCCTCAGGAATCAATGTGTCATTTTCATTGCCTTCCGATTCTGATGAAAGTTTCGGTTCCTCTTGAGACGCCTCGAGCGCTTCTCCCTCCGGGAGTTCTTCTGACTTTGTCGGCTTCTCTTCCAATGTTTCTGAGACGTCCGGTAACTTCTCACTCTCAGAATTTTCAAGTTCGATTTTCTTGGATTCGGTCGAATTCAAATCATCGATTGCGAGTGGTACTTTTTCGACAGTCTGCGAAGGAAATTCGATTAAAGATTCAGTCGTTGAACTAGTTAAAACACTTGTGCTCGTATTGTCGTGATTAATTTTGTTCTCCAAGATGCGATCTGCTTCATTATCGTGTGTATTCCTCTCCGACAATATCGATGTATCGTCGACTTTATCCTTTTCTAAAACGTTTATGTCTGGCATATTGCAATCCTTCGCAACGATGGTTTCAGGTGTCTTAATATTTGTAGACTCTTCTTCCTGCGTCGGTTGATCTTCGGAAACGTTCGCCTCAGCGCATCGTTCTTTTTCAGAAACTTTATTCGTTTCCGACAAGCTTGACTCCGTGATGCGATCTTGAACAGCAGATAAAGATTCAGCGTTCGGTGTTAAAGAATTTATCATGCTGATCGAAGCAATCTCCTCGGTGGTCGCTTCGGAACACGATTCAATGTGTTCTGGCTTTTCCCGCATTTCGTCACGGCTTGTCTTTGTCGGTTCGGAAGCACTGGAATTATCTGCTTGTATTGCAGAACTGCTCGCCACCTGTACAGGATTCTTCCGAGGTCTTCCTCTGCTTCGTTTAGGAGGCTGGATACTCGCGTCGGCGTGCAAACTTACTTTTTGATCCTCGAGTTTTGATTCTTCAAGACTGCCAGCAACATCATTTCCGTGACTTTCAGATTCCGAGGTTGAAGTAACGCTCGAAGTAACGCTCGGAACATTTCGATCCTTAAGTCTTGGTCTTCCGCGTTTCTTCTTCTTCGCGTCGCTCGAATCCGTTGTTTTCGATTTTGCAGCTTCCGCGTCCTGCGAACTCTTACTTTCAGCAGCAGTCTTTTCCTCCGATACATTCTTACTCATTTCTTCTTCCGCTTCGTTTTGTGATCTTTGCGCATCGTAGCTATTTTCTATCTCGTCGTTAATATCCATCAAAGTGCCCATAAAATATACGTCGGTTTCGACGTCAAACTCTTCGTAATGCTGAATGTATTTATTTCTTCGGGGTCTCAAACTAAAACGACTCGTCTCTGTTGCAGCTTGATTCTCCTCTTTTCCATCGTTATCCGTCTTGCAGAGCTTCCTCAGCGTTCTTCTCGTGGTCCTTGCGGATTCAGCTTTCATATCGATATCGCTCGTTTCTTCGTGCAGTGATTTAACGGTTGATTCTGCCTGGCTCTTTGTCTCAGTTGAATCCACGCGAGCTTCGTCAGGTACATCTTCAGCTTCTTTCGCTGCATCTATTTTCATTTCTTTACTCAAATTAGTTTCACAAAATGACGAGGAAATCGTGATGTCGCTGGCTGAATTTACGGGCTCGTCCGAGTCGGTCTTGGATTTTTCAAAGTCGGGAGAATCCAAGAGCAAATGTTCTTCCGCCAAATTCTTCTTCTTCGACTTGTTCTTTGATTGTTTTTTATCGCCGTTTTTGCCTTGCACGATCTCTTCTTGTTTTTTCTGAACCGACTTGATCGGAGTCGATGACGATTCCGATAGCTCCGGTGTCACGTGATCGGTCAGAACGTACTCGTCGTGGCTCATATTTTCCGTGATCTTGCAGATCTCTTCGTCCAGCAATTTGTCCTCCAGCGTTTCCTGTCTCATCGCTCCGAGATCCATCAGAGAGTTCGTCGACTCCGCATTATTCATGTACAAAACGCAACTCTCGTTTGTCTCCGAAGACTTCCGAGAGATTTCATGAGATTCTGCAACGTCGTCTTCCGCAGCACTGCTCGCCTCCTGTTGATCGTTCGTTTCATCGTTCTTCCATTCGTTGTCGATCTCCGCGGTATTCTCAGACGCACTGCGGTCCGTAAGTTCGACTTTATCCTTGCTAGATTTCGCCACTTGCGACAGATGTGACTGCGACAGCGTGTGCTTCTTTAGGGAGCTCTTGCGGGTGAAGCTAGTAGCGCACACGTCGCAGAAGAATCTCGCCGCCTCCTTCGTCAGCTTCTTTTTCTTCTCCACAATCAGGATCTCGCCGGTTTTTGTGTGCACCACCACAAAGTTGCCGGCTGCGCGTTTCTTCGGTGTGACAGGATCGTCCGGAGAATCGTAGTTGTTCGATGCCGGCTGCTCCAGCGTGGAATCTTGTTCCGAATTCTTGTTTGCCGAATCGTCCATCGTCGATTCGTTCACTCCTTCGTTTTGCAAATCTGAAGATTTTTCGACCAGTTCAAAATCTCGCTCAATATTTTCCAAGGCTTTCGTATTCTCCAAAGCTTTGATATCCGATGGAACTTCAATATCATCCGTGTCGGAGAGATCGAGATGTTCGTCGAGCAAAGACTTGGTTTTGCCCGCTTTTTTCTTCGATTCTAGATCCGCGATAGAAGAATCGGTTTTAACGATTTCCTCCTCTTCCTTCTTCTTCTTCTTCGCAAATCGTTTCTTTCTGAAGTAGCTGGATTCGCTGGTGCACGAGCTTTCGGACAGATCATCTGCGCTCTCGGCGCTCTGATTTTGAATGCTGGAATCGACGAGATCTTCGCTCGACAGTTGTGCTTTTTTCTTAAACGTGGATCTCGTTTTAACTGGTGACGGAATGAGTCCGATCGAACCCGAAGAGTTCGATCTCTCGAGTCTTTTTGTGCTCGATTCTTCTTTCGCGATACATTTCTTTGTTTCTTCTTGCTCTTCAGTTTTTTCGATCAAATTGCATGTTTCGTTAATTTCTGCGGATTCTTCGTTCGCTCGGGGCTCCTCCGGAACGCTTCCGCCGTTCCAACGACCGTCTTCGGGCAGCGACTTCTTCTTTGGTCCGCGTTTCTTCGCCACTTCCGGTACTTTGAACTGTTCTAAGCCAGCGGATAATCGCTCGTTTGAATCTGCGATTTTGGATTCTTTGTTAAGCTTCGAAGCAATTTCAGCGAAGTCGTCTTCCGGTAGTTCCAGATGTTCGTCAGCTAACGATTTCTTTTTTGCGCCACGTTTTTTCGTCGTTTTCGGAGATGTCAAATTAACGAGGTTGTTCGAATCGTCTGTATTTTGCGTTTCTTCATGTTTCGCGAAAGTTGTTTGTTTTGAAGATTTTTCCAAAGAAATGTCCGTGTCGTTTTCGCTAGTGGTTCTGGCTTGCAACTGTCCGCCGCTTAATTCCGATGATTCTTTGTTCTCAGCGGATGATGAAGATGATATCTCTTCTGCCTCATCTACCGACTTTATGGAAGCTTGGAGAACGTCTGTGGCAGTGTCTACTGGAAGATTAACAGAAGATTGCGACTTTTTCTTCGACGTACGTCTAGATGGTGGCTCGCTCGTGTCAGTTTGATCTTTCTTCTCCGCTTTTCCGCTTTTAACGCTCTTCTTTGATGCCGAAGAGTCAGCGTCCACGAGCAATTCGCTCGTTTGAACATTCGTAACGACGGCGTTTTCCTTAGATATTACTTTGTCAGCAGACTCTTCAAGGTTCGCCGTTAATTCCATCGCATCTTCACATGCTGTTTTTGGAAGATCGGCAGATTTCTTTGATTCATCATCATCTTTCGCGGGATTTTTTTCAAAGTCCAACGATTCCAAATTATCCTTGCTAATTTTGCTTTCGCTATATTCAACCATCTCGACTTCAGTATCTGTGTTCGGAGTCTCCACGGTTTCGTCATTCCTTTCCACAAATTTGTCGCCAACGTTGGATGTTTCTGACTTGGAAATAAACGCGGTAATGTCGAGTCCTTTTTGCGTCGCATTTTTTTCAGCACACTCCTCGACGACTTCCGCTGACCTTCTTTTGCTTTTTCTGGACCAGATAGCATCCTCCAGCGATCTTTTCCCGGATTTTCTTTTGGATTTCGTGATAGTTTTCTTGCTTTCGAGTTTCTCTCGTGAACTTGTTTTTCGCATCGTGACAGGCGAACTGGAAACTTCTGGTAAACTATCTATCTTATTTAAAATTTCGACTGGAACAATTGCTTCGTTTGTCGTCGATTTATTCTCGCAAGATTCGACTCGCGATTCCTCAATGAAACATACTGCATCACTCGCTTGTCCCTCTACGACATCAACATTTTTCATTTCAGGATCTAAAACACAATTTATCTTAGTTTGATTTTCGTTCTGAATCTGCATTTCGGTTTTTGTCGTCAAAGTTTCTTCGGAATTACCTTGAATTTCCAGCAAATCTGTTGAACGCTCAGAAATTATGTTTTCCACGTCGACTTTGTCGTCTTCCGATGGCCGAATTTCAGAATCGGCAATCGCCGGCGATTCCTTGTCAGCAGACGTACTTGTGACATTTTTATCGTTGTCGTTTTTCGAGGCGTGGCTCGCCTCACCTAGATTCGCACCCTCTGCGTTATCGATCAAGGTAGGTCCGACCTCGTTGAGAATGCTGGTCAACTCATCGGCCGCGGTGTCCAGCAAAGAGCCCACTTCACTTTCCAGCAGGGCATCCTTTTGTTTAGCTATCTTCGATACAATTTTCTCCAAGAAAGAGCCTTTACCTTTAGGTTTCCTTCTGGAAAGATCAAGAATGATGTCGTTGGCCGGCGAACGTGTCTTAGCGGTTGCGACTTTCGACGACACGTCGATCTTCTGATCGGTGAAGCCGTTTTCGTCCTGCGCCTTATCAGGACACGGGCGAGAATTCTTTTCGTCGTCGGCATGACGATCGTCGGTCGCGCTCGTCGCCGTGACAGCCTCGTTCTTCGCGGGTTCCTGCTCACTCTTGGCGACGACCGATAGTTCGCTGAACGTCGAGTCCGCCGCAATTGCGTCACCGCCGCTTGGTTGTTGCGCACTTCCATTGCGCGCCACTCTGTCCGGATTGTCCAGGCTGGTGTGAACTGTAAGAACCTGCACGCTCTGCTGCGCTTCCACGGGGATGTTTATGCCCTCCGTTAGAATGCCGATGACATTGTTTAGGGACCTCTTCCTCGACGACCTTTCTCGACGCGCACCCCACGTCTTCTTCGGTCTCCCTACCTTCAGCTTGCTGTGAACATTCACGGAAGTTTCAACGGAGTTCTCTTTGCCGCTGTCAACCGACAGATTGCTCGTCTCCGACTGCAAGTGGTTCAGATTCAGGTTCACCACCGTCGCTTCCGAACGATCGTCGGATTTGCCGTCGCTTTCGTTTTTATCATTGTTTTCGACAATTTCCTCGAGCTCTTTCTCGGTCTCCTTCTCGCTCGTCACGATGTTCTCACTATCGTTCTGTTCTGCGTTCGCGTATTTATTAGCTTCTTTGCTTTCGTCGACTGATTTGTTGCGACTGCGACGCTTTCCCGGCAGACTGCTGCTCTTTCGAAGGCTGTCGCTTCCGGTTTCCGAGGAAGACTCGCTTTTGGCGTCGATCAATGATCCTTTCATGTGTTTGCTATCAATCTTATCTTCGACGTCAGAGTTTTCGATCGTGATCTCTTTCGCTTTTGCGCCTGCTCTTTTGTTTTGTTGACTCTTTTCGTTCTGCGCCACATTAACTGTCGCGCTATCAGTCGAATCTTTCTCACTCGTTTTTGTTACTTTGTCGTTGGACACAAACCTCGGCGGGTAGGCCTCGGCCTCTCTTATTAGCCACTTGACCTCGAACGGCAGTTTCGCAGCATCTTTCTCCGTTCTTGTTTTTGAGTGACTTCGAGTTTCCTTGTCATCGGTTTTCTCTTTCTTAGCCGCGCTCTTCGTGTTGTTTAACTCGTCATCAGGTTCCTGTGGATTCTTATCGCTTTGAAGCGCTTTCGATCTTGGCGCCCATTGCCTCAGACTGCGTTTCGAGTCAACGTCATCAGATGCAAGCTTCGACATGAAAGATGGATCAACATCTCTTAGTAGCTTCTTCACTTCGCGCGGCAATTTCACAGAATCTTTCTCCGTTCTTGCGTTCGAGTCACTTCGAGTTTCTTTATCGCCGGTCTTCTTCTCAACGTTCTTCCTGGCCGATTTTCTAATTGTCTCGAACTTCTCTTTCTTACTCGCGCTCTTCAAGTTGTTTATCTCATCATCGAGTTCCTGCGGATTCTTATCGCTTACTTGAAGCGCTTTCGATCTTGGCGCCGATTGCCTCAGACTGCGTTTCGAGTCAGCGTCATCAGATGCGAGCTTCGACATGAAAGATGGATCAACATCTCTTAGTAGCCTCTTCACCTCGCGCGGCAGTTTCACAGACTCTTTTTCCGTTCTTGTGTTCGAGTCACTTCGAATTTCTTTATCGTCGGTCTTCTTTATCTCGGCATTCTTCCTAGCCGATTTTCGAACTGTCTCGATCTTCTCTTTCTTACTCGCGCTCTTCAAATTGTTTAATTCGTCATCAAGATCCTGCGGATTCCTATCGCTCATTTGAAGCGCTTTCGATCTTGATGTCCATTGCTTCAGAGTGCGTTTCGAGTCAGCGTCATCCGATGCGAGCTTCGGCATGAAAGATGGACCAACATCTCTTAGTAGCCTCTTCACCTCACGCGGCAGTTTCACAGAATCTTTCTCCGCTCTTGTTTTCGAGTCACTTCGAGTTTCCGGCGCAGCTTCGATATTGGTGACAGCTTCACTCTCTTTCTCCTTCGAACTATATTTCGAAATTCGAGATGCCTTTTGATCCTGAGGAGTAACCGGCGACAAGATGGGCAGGTCGTTCGTCGACTTGTCAACATACTCTTCGTTGGGAGAAACAATCTGTGCAACTGGTTCCAAAGTCGGCATCTTGTCACTATCCGACGACAGCCGAGTGACTTTTCGCGGCAGATGAACGTCGGTCTTCTTCGACTTTTGCGCCATTTTCGCCTTCAATTTGACTTGGATCGACTTCGCTTTCAGTTTCCTGCCATCCGTTTTTGTTTCCGACAATTTCGCCGACGAATCCTTGTTTGGATTTCGAGCAAATTTGCCATCCTGTGTGCGCAGCTGCGACTTTGCCTTGAGGGAAGCGTTTAAGGATGCCACCGGGTCCACGGAACGTTTCCTTTTCAACATCGCTTTATTTTTGTTTTTTACTTCAGAAATCAATTTTTTGCTGCCGGAACTAACGCCAATTACCTTCGTGTTCTTTGGTATATTTTTTGAAGAGGATATCTCCTCGTCGTTCGCGTCACTCGTCGTGACATTGTTCTTAAACTTCACGGATTTTGCCTTTAAGATCGCTAGCTTGTTGCTGCCTTTGCCTTGAAGTTGCGATTTGCCGACCAGGCCCGTCTTCGTCCTCACATTCCTCTTCTTGCCGAGAACTCTGGGCCGTCCGACGGTTTTCGGTCGAACGCTTTTATCATCCCAAGTTTTGCCGGTTGTCTTCGATAAACTTTCGCCGATCTCTTTGGCGTCTTTCTTGCCTTCGGCTCCGCTTTCGACAGTCTTGTCGCCATCACCGTGATACGTCTCGTGACACTTCTTCACGATGCTCTCGATCACCGCGGTTATATTATCGTTCCGACAGCGATTCCGTTGGATCGATTTGGCGTTCTTCAGCAGCTTGTTTCTCAGAGCGGCTTTGTTACGCGAGATTCTTGATACGGACGAGTTGTCGCGAGGCCTCGTTCTGCTCTGCACCTGTTTTAACAAAGCCACAGATACCACTATAACAACAATAATGAGAAAACGCCTGTTTGATTCGATTCTATCGTAGAGGTTTCGGAAAAGTCAATTTAATTCCACTTTTTTTATTTTTCAATTATATTCCACGTTTTTAATTGCGCCATTTATTTCCGTACAATTTCTCTCGCAAAGGTACAAAGCAAGTATAACTAAAGGCAACATATTAATTAAAGCAAAAACAGTGGTATTTTTTTAAAAACCTAGACGTTACACAATGATAATATAAAAATTGCACTACCCGCACGATTGTATGTACAATCATGTGAACATATACCTAAGCGAACGCGTATGTCAACTAATCGATGTCTGCGCTCGTGTGCGACGAGGCGCGCAAGGCAATAACGTTCTATCATTATTTCGACGAGTCTCGAGTTTCTCGTGTCTCTCTCGATTATTTGGTATGTTTACATCGCCCAGGTTAACCGAATAGATATTATCAGCACGGCGCTTTGTCGCTCACATTATTTGTTTTGGTAACGTTACCAAATTGTCGTCGCTAATTTAATTTCAATTAGTATCTTATTTCACTCTTCTTATCATTTTATTCGCCGTTTCTTGTTCGTGCAAATTTTTCTATCGAAAAT